CCCTCAATAATGTGTTAGCCATTGTATTTGTAAAAGCAACCCTCAATAATGTGTTAGCCATTGTATTTGTAAAAGCAACCCTCAATAATGTGTTAGCCATTGTATTTGTAAAAGCAACCCTCAATAATGTGTTAGCCATTGTATTTGTAAAAGCAACCCTCAATAATGTGTTAGCCATTGTATTTGTAAAAGCAACCCTCAATAATGTGTTAGCCATTGTATTTGTAAAAGCAACCCTCAATAATGTGTTAGCCATTGTATTTGTAAAAGCAACCCTCAATAATGTGTTAGCCATTGTATTTGTAAAAGCAACCCTCAATAATGTGTTAGCCATTGTATTTGTAAAAAAGCAACCCTCAATAATAACCCTCAATAATGTGTTAGCCATTGTATTTGTAAAAGCAACCCTCAATAATGTGTTAGCCATTGTATTTGTAAAAGCAACCCTCAATAATGTGTTAGCCATTGTATTTGTAAAAGCAACCCTCAATAATGTGTTAGCGATTGTATTTGTAAAAGCAACCCTCAATAATGTGTTAGCGATTGTATTTGTAAATTTTACCAAAGAAAGAGGTTATAGAAACTTACAGCGACTCACATTTCCTCTTAATTTAAACATACTTTTCCAGAATTTTAAACTGAAGTTTTTAGGGGGAAGAAGAACTTACAGCTAAGAACTTAAGAGCAGGTGCAACGATCATGTACGTGTAACAAAATCTCGGTCGATCCTCTGTACGCGCTGACGAAGGGCTGAACCTGGAAATGTCAGCTTGAGAAACTCTTCACGATGGCCAATTTACTATTAACTCATTTGATAAAACCAAATTATCTTGTAACACCCCGACCGACGCAGCACCACATTGTCTTGAGAAAGTTACCCCCTTTCTCGTAGTTGTTTTCTTATTTTCAGATCTCATGATATTTTCTGTTGTGAGTTGAAAATAAACTATGATCTGTGACTGATCTTGAAAACTCGTCCCGCCCTATCAACCAATCAGAATTCGAATCAAAACAATTCGTGACCTGTTATCCCTGCACTACAGTCAGTTTTCTCGTCTTCAATTGAACCCTTCAAACCGTAGGAGTCACTGGCATCTAATTTTTCCTTACCGTATCACATCCGGCTGAAGGTCGTGGCAGTAAAAAAAATGACCGCTCACTAAAAAAGCTCTTGATTATTTGAGAAATTTTCGTTGTTATACCGGAGACAAAACTGTGGAGAATACACATGCTGATGTATAGATGTAAAGGGATATTAGGTCCTCACTGGTTCCTGGTAATATTTTCCCTTGTCTTAATGGTTAGTTATGATAATCTTGTTTTTGGTTCATTGGAAATGCGCAGTAAAGGTTTCCTAGTCGTTTACTAATTTAATTCTTTTAAACTCCAGGGTACAAAAATGCTGGCCAAGAAAATCAAAGAAACCGAGAAAAAACAGAAGCAGGTAGAGATAACAGCCATTATGCCACTATACAAATCTAATGACTATTTTCAGTCAACATTCCCAATCCACGTATTTTTATATTTATTTGTTTATATCATTGTTGCTGCAGGTAGAAAATATGTGGCAGAAACAAAGGGAAGACGAATTACATCGCAACATGAGCCAGCTTAATCTTTTAGACAAACATAAAACCGCTTTTGAGAAGAGGAATCATTTATCTGCTCAAGAACACTTGGTTAGTTCCATGGACACCCTCATGCGTAACTTTGAATTGCCACGAGTTTATCTGTGGTTTTTTGCCCAATTACACAAACATTGATCACAAGAGTTTTCGCTTTGAGGAGGACTTCTCGAGCTGCCTCTTGCCAACGATTTCAAGAAGTTCCACAGTGTTGCAATTGTAACTTATTTCTCTCGTAGACATGATTAAGGGGGAACTGCCCTTTGCCACATGAATATTTTGACCATTTCCAAACGCCAAAGTATGGATCGTGAACATTTTTCATTCATGGACAGTGTACTTTCAGTTAACGTAAAAGTATCTTTAATCAGGAGAACCGTCACCAACTTACACTTTATTTCTTCACTTTTCTACAACAGAAAGTTCAAAGTCGGAATCACAGTGTGAAAACCAGACACACTAATACGAGAAAACAATTGGTTCAACAGTTAAGGTCAGTGGCAGTACACATCACAGTACACATCACAGTACACATCACAAACAAGGCAATCGGTAAAATTGTCCTGCAATGCAAACTGTTACAACAGCTGCATTGTCACTTATGCCAGCTTGTGAAACGGCTTGTGTTGCTGGTACATAGAAGTTTTGTACCATTTGCTTAATCCTCTGTATTCTTCTTGTGGCCCAAACGACGATCAAAAAGGTTAATGTTTAACAATTATTCGCCGAAGGCGAGGTGAATATCGTCGAATAATCCCCTCGACTTCGTCTCGGGGATTATTCGACAATATTCACCGAACCTGAGGCGAATAATTGTTCTAGTATAATTTCAGAGCTGAACAACAGAGAAATTTCTAAAATCATAACATTTTAGTAACATTTATTAACTTTTTATTTTAACATTTTATATAAACCGCGTGGAGCGGTTTATATAGCGTCATATAAGGAACCGCTCGACCAATCAGATTGCTGGAAACTCTTTGCTCAGCTCTGAAATTATACTAAATGTATATATATATAAACAGATCGTTCAAGGGAATGCTTTTCTGAAAGGTTGCCCGTGTTCCTGCTGTATTAGAATGCTGCCACTATTATCAAAACTTGTTTCGTTTCACGCGTCTACTTTTTTATCTTGTTTATGACTCTCAGCCAAGAAGAAGAGAATCTAAAACACGAAGTGGCCATTAAACATCAAAACGCTGTAATGAATTACCAGAGACAACTGACTCGAAAAGATAACCAGATGGCGTTAAATAGGTAAGTACAATGTTGAGACACTGAGTTTCAGTGGGTATTCTGTTTAACTCTCTATATCCTAACATCGGTAGGCATGTTCTCCATACTGTTCTCTATACACTTCTTAAGATGCCAACGAGGAGAATTTGTTCAACGATCAAGAGCTTGTTTATTTGATGATCATTTGCCTTAATCTCCTGACGTGAAGGTGTGATTCGGCGGTGATACTGAATTGAGTAACAAGAGATTAGTCACTATTAGGGTTTAAGGGTCAATGGACTCTACTCGAACGGAGTCAGGGATTTCTAAGGAGTCCCAACGTGTTATGTAGTATGAATTCAATTCATCTCTATCTTCGAAGCACGCAACGTTTTCATTGATATGCGTTAATCATCCGTTTTCTGTTGCTTTGCCGTCATTTTTCCCATTCTTTTTTTTTTTTAATTGCTTTCAGTCATCCGTGTTGCTATGGAAGTAATGTAATAGCTGATAATAATCAGTAATAAAAACCTTTACTCTATTTCCCTTTTGCCAAATGTCAGCTTCTGAGTTCCGGTATATCTCACCTGATGACACATACTTAAAACCAACCAAAACTTACTCGGTCACCTTAGATTGAGGGTGTGGGACGCAGACCGTGTAGATCAGAACGCATGTAGTATCATAGTTACAAGTACGTTACTGGAATTCGGAACTAACCAAGGCATGTAAAACTTTGTAAAAGTCAGACAAAAAACAGAAAAGTGGAAATTTTCGTGTGGAGATGATATTGCTGATTCTGCACATAGCAATGAATTATGATTTTCAGGATAAAGAGAGAGGAGCGAATTGAAAGGCAACAGGAACAGTTGAGGAGGAAGGCAAATGATATGGATGAATGGAGAAAAGAACTCACAGTTTTCAGGGAAGAGGTGAGACTCATTTTATCATTAGAAATGACGTTTTTGGTTGATTTTATTCTGCTTAAAAATTTTAAAAGATATTCTCGTAACGGTTTATATGGGGTCTAGGGTGAACCATACCAAGGTAAGACGTCAACTGAAATTTTGTTTACCGTAGGACACACGGTGAATTTCAGGTCTCTCAGATACGAATGTAAGTCAATTAACGTAACCTACCTTGTTTGTTTTGTAGAAAGACAAGCAAGCTGAAGGTACTGCAAAAATGGTAATAGCTTCTAAACAGCACAGAGTTAAATCACAACTTGCCGCTGAGAAAGACGAACATCAGCAAAATCTAGTAAGGTAATATGACATTACAGAAAAGATCTGTTAAAGGATATCGAAAAACGACCCGTTAATACAGTTTGTTGTCCCCACTTCAAGATGTTTCTGGTGATGTTCCTTTTTGAACCCAAAAATTTGCTTTCCCAACTGATTACCGAAACATATTGTTGCCCACGTTGTGTTTGCAACAATTTCCCGATTTGTGGTGTACGATTAAGATATATAGTTATCAAGTTAACCTGTGCCTGCATTTCAGTATTCACCAGAAGCGTAAGCAAACATCTTGAAGAAACAGACACCTCCTCTGAATTGAAGACAGGTTGTCGTGAAACCATTTCTTGCTTACCCAAAGACTGTCCAAATTCGATGTAACAAAGTTCGAACATTTTGCAGGGTAAAACAAGCTCTCGAAGAAAGGAAAAGAGAAATTCAAGAAGATATTGAAGTTAAAGATGAGCGAAGTAGAATGGTTAATGCAGAAAAAGATGAAATTCGGAGACAGGTGAGTTGTGCCAATTCCTTTAAAAATTTTCTGTATTATCATTGACGATGTTTTGACTTATCTCCAGTGATAATGTCGTAATAATGTCATTCATAGAACCGTGATGCAGCTCGAACCTCTCAGGCCGTGAGGGACTTGATCAGAGAACAGACGCTCAGAGGGTAAACACATTTGCGGTCTTAAATGTGCCCATGAAGTATTTTAAGCCCGTCCGAGGCATGCAAGCATTGTTAGCTTTTGTACAGTAGCGGAGCGAACCAACATGCTGTTACATTGATTAAGAAGGAAATATACGTCTTAACACCTACAACAAATTTACCTCTAATTTCACCTACTTTTCTTCTGATCCCTAAGCAACACCAACAGACGAAATTATTAATACTTGTTGTTTACTAAAACTTTATCTATTTTCACAACACTTTACAAACAGCTGAAAGGCAGACAATTTTTTTAATGCATCGTCTCGCATTCGTGTCAAGGCGGTTTTACATTGACTCACTGGCTTGCACCTCAAGCTAATTTTACGACCTACTTGTACCAATCGAAAGTAATAAGGCAGTGATTCTTAGCTGTATTCTGCAATTGAATTCTGGTTCACACAGAAAAAATGTGCAGTTTGTTAACTATAGGAGAAGTAGAAATACTGAGCCAACGCCTTTGAATCCTTCAGGAAAACAACTGATCGTTGGAATTTTTTTTGGTTACTCTAGTTCCTTTGACAGGATGGCAGAGGCCGCTCAGCACCAAGCTTTTGTAGGGCGTGGCCCACAGACAGGACACAAGAATAAATCCACTTTGAAACTGGGCTAATGAACTAAAAATATGAATTTAGGAATGGCCGCTAGTGATTGTTTGTAAGTGTGAATTAGTACTTCCTCGAGATTATTTATTTCATCTGCAAAACATATCTTGCATCGTTTATGGTGTAGGCCATTTTTTGGCTCGTATTCAAAATTAAAACTTACCTTAGTTTTAGTTAAATGTACATATAAACAAAGTGAGAATTGTTCTCAATTAAGTAGGGTAGGAAATATTTGGAGAAGAAATAGAACACTCAAGGGCTTGACCCTTCTCCGGCGTATACAGGTCATGTACGTTCGTCGAATTCACAGTCTGTATCACTGATGAAACTAAAACTTACACAAGTGATTTTTTTGCAAATAAAACGAACTTTTTAAGCTCGTGGCTACGCCTTGTTCCTAATGAAATTTGATGTCACTCGACGGTTAGAAGGTGGTTGGCAAGACTAGGGCCAGCGGCGTTGAAGTCTCTTTTAAGTCTCTTTTAAGTCTCTTTTAAGTCTCTTAACGATTGTTTTAAGTGTCCTTTCTAGAACAGGATTGCAAATTGCATTTGAATTTTAGACCAGCGCAGTATTTACGGTATGGAGTTTGGGACATTCAGCGATACAAACCAATCCAAAGATTCATTAGGGCAGGCTCACAGGTTTGATAAAAAGCCGTTATGTATTTTCATAGAACTGTTCAGAGGTTTCACACAGAATGATTGTAAAGGGAAATCAAATCGTTGTCTAACAAGTACGACTGGGAAAGACAAATCGAAAATAAACGGACTCTTTACCGTTAAAATTGAAAGACTACAAAACTTGTACATGCTAACAGTAAATAGTATTGTACAAATTGAAAATAAACATACTCTTTATTGATAAAATTAAAAGACTTCAAAACTTATAGATGGTAACCGTAAATAATATGGTACAGTAGCAGTAATATTAACATCAAACTCCGTCGGAAAATTGATCCTGCACAGACTTGTAAAAAACCAAGTGGGACCGCATGACTATATCTCCCGGATCCCTGACAGGGTGGGGGTCAGTACCGTTAAACCAACCAAAATACTTGACTTTGTTTTTATAATCTCCAAATCGAACTTGTTCTGTGATATCCACTACCCAGGGTACCACGTCCATTCCACAGCACCACCCATCCCTCCCATACAGCCATGTTCCATGCTCGTTTGGCACCGCTCCATCACTCACTCGGTTGGCGCAGCCCATGGCTGTAGCAGCGTTTTTAAACACTTGTACATTTGAATGTCCGTTTACAATGAAGTGATGGGATGTAACACAGAACTCTGCACAACCATTGTTGTCACTTCCATGTCCACTAATTGTGGCTACGAGTTTAACTTGAGTGGTTTCAGATGGGATTCTGATAATACGAGTGTGATATTTTTTATTGTAGTTCTTGTCAAATTTACCACCCCTGAAGAGTTTGATAATCTTGAAGGGAACATTGTATTGATCCTCTTGTCGTGCACTGTATGCCTGTGTTGAGACTAAAGACATAGCAAACAATCTCAGTTATTTTCAACACTTTTATGGCTACGTCCCTCATCTAAACCTAATCATTAACAAAATACGAACCGCATCCAGTTTCCTGAATATTTTGTAATATTCTCAAAAATATTTGAGGTTCTTTGGATAATTTTGGGTTAAAAATTAAGCTCTTATGAGAATTGACGGCAAAAAGAAATCCGTTGAAGGGAGATCATCAAGGAGCCCCAAGTTGTAAGACGATCACACCTCCGTATGACGCCCCGTATTCAGGTTGGAATCCTAACGAGAAAATCCGAATTTTTCTATGTCCCTATAGACTAACAGCAGCCCCTTCATTTTTTTTGCGAAGTCCGTCGCAGAAGTCCAAAAAATTTAACGTGGTTGCGCCGCGGGAGCTCTGTGAATGGGGCGCTCCCGCGGCGCATCGACATCAATTTAATGTTTTTTCGCTGATTTTTCTAGACTTGGGCGACGGACTTCGCCGAATAGAAGGGACTGCTCGTAGACTAATGTCCCAAGCTTGTGACAAATGTTAAAGATCTTACTTTACCTAACAATCAAGACAACTAAGATCGAAATTTAGCTTCTTTCGCACTTTGTCTCCCCAAAACAAAACAAAAAAGCTCTCAACACTTCTTACGCTAACAGTATGCAAGGGACTTGTCTCATATGAACCTATTACATGGCCTGGCGCGAGAATAAATTCGCTGTAGCTCGGTGTTAGAGGCCTGAGCCTACGGTTCGAATCTACTCGTCATTTACATTTTTTTCTATGTCCAACACTAGAGACATGCAGTGCCGTCGCCTTTAATACAGCTTTTCTCTCACCTGTGATTCCAGGTGCGGTGAATTATCAGGGAAAACTTATTAATAAGCTGTAGTGATAAAGTACTTTCCAAAAAGAGGCTATGGTTAAGGCCCACGTTTGATATTCGTACTTACATTTAATATGATCAGACAGCCTGATATCAAGAGAAGGCTTCCAAGCTCGCTCCCAGAAAGGATGTTTCATTTGTAAAGTACAGGTTTCAGATGTAAACAGAGGTAGCAATGGTGTGATGTTTGTCAACCAACGCCCTACAGACCTGAAAAAGTAGAGCAAAGTAAAACATCACAGTGCTGCAGAAAATATAACAAGAAGGCAATTACCTAATATATTAGAAAAAAAAGTTCAAGCAATACTCAATAGACGACAGACAAATAGTTAGGGTTTTTCCTCCGAAATCTATCACAAGGTCTCGGTTTTGTGTTCTAGACTCCATTTCTTGTGCCGCGTCAAAATTTGTCCGTCTACTTTGAGCTACTTTAAAATCCTCCGAGTCAGCCCACAATGTATGCACTTTCGCATTTTTATAACTTATATTATTTCATAAATTCACTGTAGATTTGATGTAGTGTTTACAACTACATTTTTTAACTTTTCAATTGAATCAAGAGCACCTTGAAAATTGGATATTAGAGTTATACAAGTTCTTATGAAACTCATTTTCATCGCTGATACTGCTTCTTGAAAAGAATGTGAAATCGGGAACATAGTTTCCGCACGTTTCACCTCCTGTAAGGCGTTATCCAGCGGCCCAACTCCTCCCCACACAGTGGACTAGTTTTATCACAACAAACAGTGAGGTGAACAACGTGATCCCAGTGAGGGCATGAGTAGTCACTTTTACCGGGGCAATACAAGGTCATGTCCAGTTCTACATTTCTGTACATCTGTAATTCTACAGAAAAAAAAGGACGGAATATAGGATGGGTCTAAAAAGAATATACAAAAGATAAAATCTGATTGTTTGAGAGCATTAAATCAATATACAATAGCATGTGAAGTTAACATGATGATAACAGCTCATGCATGTAATATCTGCATGCATGTAATATATTGGGTCATGGTGCCGAGTCTGCCTAATTTCCAAGCCCATCATCCGTGTAGTGTACTCAAACTTTTGCAAACTCAAAAGTATCTTCATTTGCAGATTGTGTAACAAAATGTATAATAAAACAATTATTGATTAAGTTTTCCCATAATTTCATGAATTATCAATTATCAGCCTTGACTTTGGTTTTTGAAATAGGTAGGAAACACAAACTTCATTTAAAAAGATGCCGTCTCTCACTAGGAATGAATACGGTTAGCCTGGGTATCATACAAAAGAGGCAAGTGACAACTTCATAAATTTTTCCACTAAAAGGTAACTAGCAGTTCAGATATATGTATTTCATATATTCGTTGTGTTTGATTTATCATCTTACAGGTTTATGCTGAATTAATTTGATGGCCTGCTCCCAGTTGGCTTAGCTCAATTGGTAGAGCGCTGCATTAGTATCGCAGAGGTCAGTGGTTCGAATCCCGTACAGGCCTGAACTTTATCAGGCCTGATTTTCACTATTGCTTAAATAGTGCTCTTTACTGTGAGGATCGTGCACATAATATGTAAAAGTCTATATCTGTATCTCTGGAGATAATGAAGCCATGTTCTTCAAGTTTGGTATGGAAAATGCGTGGCACTAGAGCCACAAAATGCTGTGCTCTAAAGAAAATTAAAGGGAGTCCACTGCTATGAAATTGTGAAATCCAGGGCACCCTGCAGCACCCATGGAAAAACAAAAATTCCCAAGTTGCTCAGGAGAAAAGGAATGCACCAGGGGCCACCAGGAGCTGCTGGACCACAGCCCTTATAATGCACTGATTATTTCAGAAATTTGCAGGAACTGACCTTCAAGTGGTGGAAGGCTGATAGTTCTCACTGCACCAGTTTTTCCTTCCATCAAGGTATGGTTAAAGACATGGATTATTTTTGCACTGCCAGTCAAGTTGTGGACCAAATCTGTTTTGTAATTAAACCTGATGGAATGAGATGAGTTTTAAAAAGTAATTCATCTCTCAAGGGTAAGTCACCAAGGAGATCACATGGCAAAATAACCATTTTAAGAAACTTATCATTTTTAACAGGATTCATACTCCCATTACAGTGGAAAAGTAATATACCCATTTTTTCCCCACAAGATGCCAGTGATACAAGCATACAGTCATGTACCTTTAAGTTATTATTGAAATTGTAAAACCTTCAGCACCTAATACTAATACTGCCTAAGGTTCTTGACTCTTGTCTACAAACCACATACCAAATACCCAAAACCCCTGCCCAGACCTGATTAACGTGTTCTTTTTTTTTGTGCTAGTTACTAGTCTAAGACATCAAATAAGTTTCAACTTATTGATAATTATATACATTTTTAGTGAAATTAATAAATGTAATGCAGTAGGACAATTTGTCATTGAATAACAAACTCACCATTTTGCCTCATAGGCCATGAACTTCATTGAAGGAAACAGAAACAAACCTACTTCAGCCAGTTTTCCCTGACCATCAATACCCAAGAAAAAATTTTCTTGAGGCGTAAACTGGTAAGAAACATAAATCTTCATTTTAGCACTCAGCAAGTGCTTGATGTGAATACCATCCCTGTGTGAAATCATTGATGCTGGTGTGTTAAGAGGTTTGAAGCAGTACTGACCATTGCAACTAATTTCTTTAATTGGTGCATCTTCTTCAGAATAGATCAAAACTGCTTTAACTCCAACCTTGTTCATATTGTGAATCTAAAGAGAGAAAATTAGGTTAACAACATTTCTATTCAAAGAGACTTAAAACAGCACAATGTTTGCAGACCCTTGCATTATGCAGATCGACTTTGAAATCAATAGAAATCAACCCTTTCACTTCCAAGATCTAAATTTCCTTCTGTGCACTATCTGCACTATGTTTGATACAATTTTAGCTCTGATAATGGGGTATTAAATCAGACAATATCCACTAATTAATATATTCTTTCTTCTCAACACCCTACTGACCAAACTGTATGGGAATTGTAAGGAAAAATTAATTCTGCCTTAGTCACTCCCAACTGAGAAGGTTTAACTAATCAAGAAAATCTGGTTGACTACCTACATGCAAAGTCGTCATCTAATAAGAATCACAGGGACTTGATGACCTTAAAGGTTATAAAAGATAAATTTCCAGTTCTAATAAAAAATAAATAGATTTGAGGGGCCAGTTAAGCTTAAACAAAATGGCAATTAATGTTCCCAATAAAATTCATTCTTGTAACCTTTGTAAAATAAGAGCAGTCTCCACCAGGGGACACTAAAGCAATGCTCCCTTCCTGGGCTCTTGTTTTCTGATCTTTGCGTGTTTTGTAATGGACACCATTACTGTTTTCTTCCTTCCAGTCAGATTTAGGGTGACAAGCATTTCCATAGTAGGCAATACGATAATGAGCACCCTTGTGAATCAAATTGTGAGGTGATGGCAGCCAATCATATCTTGCATCCAACCTCTGTGTTACCAACATCACTTCACCTGAATGAAAAAAAAAATCATCAAATGGAACTTGAAACCAAAACCTTGTTCTCCAGATAGCGTATTTATCATGGGAATTCAGAAATTACATCCAAAAACTTTATTTCTCTCACCTTCCGTGACTCACAGTAAGAAGCTGTACATTTCTCCTACGTCACCATTCCACATTAGCCATGGATACAGAACACCAAAATTTTGCAAAATGTATCCTAATGCACTCCTAAATTGAGTTGGGTACTTTTGGAGGGTTGGTGCTTTCATGTTGTTTCAGTAAGTATTTTCTATACTAAATTTATGGGGAGCTGTACCATTTGCCATCTTTTACAATACAGTCAATTGTCAGACCTCTTCAATCAATCCAACCAACAAAGTTATAAGATTTTCAGTTGATTGGAAATCAGACTTAGCTAGGCATTATGTTCCTGGGTACTTATAATTCTTGTCAGCCATGCGCAGGCAGTTTTCTTTACTATCTAAAAGGTTGCAATCCTTACACTTTCAGATTTGATTTTGAGTATTACCTTCCTGCGATTTGATGACAACTTGAGCCAGAGCACAGCCTGTACCAAAGCAAGGCCAGTGCATTAAAGCATAAGGAATCCAGTTTCCAAAGTCATACACAGGAAGGCTGGCAAAATGAAGCCTGTCTTTCCATGAATTAACCCAACTTTTGCTACATTTGTTTTCAGTTGCAGTTGCATGGTGCTGCCTTAGTTTTGAAAGCTTGAAAAAGGGTTCCTTTTCCACAGAATCATTGCTTTCACTATGTCTACTCTTCTTATAGTACCTCTGGCATGTTGTTTTCAGATCCTGTTGCAATACATTTGTCTTCCTAAAGGGAAGAAGATGTGTCCATCAATATAATACTAATTCTCCGACTAAATAACAACATTCATCATATCTTTGTTGAATGAGCTATCCTCTCCAACTCACTGCTTATTCCCCCACCTCTTCTCGCACAGTGATTGCTATCCTAGATAAATAACGAGGGTTCCTTTTTCAAAAGGTAGCCCATCCTCATTTTCTGGGTATGGTCAAAACTCATATTATCCCTTAGAGGTATCAATAATCTAGTTTTCGACTGCCAAACCTGTGAACAGGAGTGAGGACAAGGGCAACCTAATGATATTCAGTAAGAGAAGAAGGACTGCATTAAGTACTTATAAGCCATCATATAACAGAGGAATTTCTATGTGAAAAGTAATGCTTGGATAATGACATGCTTATATACATTAAGCCTCACTCTTACATACAGGCTTAGGTATAAGGCACACAAACTGCTACCCAATATTATCTCTAAGTTGGGTATTGTAGTGCATTTTCTGGGCTATTAACTCGAGATTTTGGTCACCTAAAAATTATTTCAGTACACTAGCTTACATGCTTGCTGAATGTTCAGACTGTTTTGTTGTCCTTTTTTTCGGTTTTTATTTTTCCAATGCCCTCCAAAGCGACAATAACAACAATACAGTTTATGTTCTTGAGAGTAAATATGCTCTGGGCCCTTGTCAGAGTTATTTTAACCCCAGTGCCTAATGGTTCTGGCTAAAATGACACTGAGTCAGGCCCAAAACATATTCATGTCTGTGAACATTAACTCTTTGTTTGAATAATTATTCAATGCTTTGGAAAAGTCTTCCTTTATCTGTATCATCCTATCATTACTTTTTTCTCTCATTTGACGTGAACCCCTTGACAAATGGCTCCAAGGGAAACAGCGAGTTTACAAGAAACTATTTTGTGTCCACAAAAAGCAACCCTGAGAGTAACACCAATTGAAACCTTTGCTGCTTTTTGTAGGCTCTGAAATCATTCTGTTTACCTTCTAAAGTAATCCTCTATCGCTTTATGTAGAGTTTTTCGTAGCCATAGCACGTCCTCTAAAGCTGTAGAGTCTGATGATGACATGAATACATAGTGTGTATTCCCTGGTGAATACTCGATGAACTCTTGCAGAGAAGTTTCATTTGTCCACAGCGCTTCCAAGAAAGCCGATCGCTTGGTGAACAGGTGAAATATGACCGGGTGAGTTGGCTTTCTAGGGTTTCCATTATTCTTCTTGTAAACAATCCTGCCATTTACCGTTTGTAGAGCAAATGATGGTGCAGTATCTCCTGGCTGGAGATTTGGCAGTTGACTCCAGGCGAGAGCAAAATGAACCACGGAAAGCAGAAGTGATTTTTTCGGATCGAATCGCATATTGATTTTAATTGCACAGCAATTTCTAGCCCTTCTAACAGCGATGAACTTCCCTGGCTGCGGGAAATTTTAAATATTTTCGAATAATTAAAGGACGGGAGCATTTTTAGAAGCATGATCAAATATGCTCGGGTGACAACCTAAAGTGAGACGGGAATCTGACGGGACATCTGATCGTACATGTATGTCAACATTATGTTTTAAGAGGATCGAAAATGATCAAACTTTCTGCAAAGTAAGCTGCGTTTTAAGGAAATAAATTGAATGAATATCATAGGAAAATTATGTTTCTTAATATGATACTAGTAAAAGAAACATTTCTTTGAAATCAATGTAATTTTTTGTCACCGTTATTTCAATAAAAAAACAGTGAAACAAAATTATTCCAATGACGGTCAATAGTTCAATTCTCCTTACATGTTTACGTTGTTGTGCGAGAGTTAACAGTTTTAATCGGAACTTACTGGCAGGTTGATGCTAAAGAAACTTTTTAACTTGTCTCGAATAAACTACGGCGAATCCCAGGTGAGTATTAATATCGAATGTGTGAGTTACCCTTATAAGCCCAGAAAACTTGAGATAAAGAGCTAGTATATCTGATTTGAATTTTCAGTTTGACATCTTTGGACACTTAAACCATGATCAGTTAATTTCAATCAGTTTACTGCTCTGCTCTCGTTTGGAATTTGTTGCTTTTTTTATTAGGATGACCACTAAATATCCTTGAAGATCGAGCCTTATCATTAATTTTCTGTTCTCATCTAATTGCTTTTACCACTGTGGACGGGAGTGTAAGTGGGCCTAAGGATTTGCAGGTACTTAATGGCCTTCAGTAGCTTATGATCGAACAGATCCCGTACGTTAGATACCGGCTTTTTAGCAGAGCTATTAGGTTGATTTAGGAATATATGAAAAAAGAAATATATTATAGAGACGCATAACTCTGGGAAAAAAAGTATAGGATATATTCAGAACTGATGCTCAATATAAATTATTTTCATTAGATTTCTTAAAATTAAATTACAGTATTGACCAGCTGATATTCCCTGAAATAGTTTCCCTTTCTATCAACACATTGTTAAGGGAAGTGGACCACGGTATAATCACTGTTTCACAAACCCATTCCAAGGTTATAGTTGTAATAAATTATCCATAAAGTGAAATTTGTTTCTATAGGACAAATATTTTAGAGGTGTCCTTAAAGTAGGAAGTTTGGCCAGAATCATAGGCAGTCCCTTCCTGAATGGGACTCAGAAGTTGAAATTAAAGTTCACTTGGAAATAAAAATAATTTACTAAGAGTCTGAGTTTGTATTATTAATCCTTACAAGTTTTCCATAGTTTATAAGATAATGTGATTAGTTCTTTAAGATATGAAATTGTCAGTCCTTTGTAATAACTAGGAGGACAATTGAATTGTAGTGATATATAACAGATTTCTTTACAGTATCAGAATGAAAAGAGGGAAAACTCTGACCAGTGGACAACTTATTCCAGCAACCTGCTGTGGTGTTGTTATACATATATATATAGTACTGCAGTAAATGGCTTGAACCCGGGGGTAACATGTGAAGGTGTAGTCTGATCGTCCGGGTGAGTGTAGTCCTGAGAAGGACTGTTGTCGGTGGTAGTTACTGACGTTTCGACAACTTGTGCCCAATCATGACCGACTTACATCACTTGAGTCTTACAGCCAATAACATCACGGCAAAACCAACCGATCATTTTACACGAACTGGAATAACAACATTCTACTGCGACAACAATTATTCACTTGACTCTGATGATGACTTCCGCACAGGTTATTGAAACATCACTCACTACCACTGACAACAGTCTTTCTCAGGACTACACTCACCCGGACGATCAGACTACACCTTCATATATACTGTACTGGTGAACTTATTGAGTATACAGAGGAGATTTTAAGCATCCATTATAACCCATTTCATTTTAGACTTCACTTTAAGAAAAAAAAAATAAGAACAATATGCTTTCAAAGAAAATATCCATACCCCATGAGAAGCATGGTACAGACCTAAATGTAAGCCACACCAACATTTGTTAATTTCTGCTGAAGTTTGAAAAGTAATTAAACAATTTTCATCCTTAAATTTTAATGTTCAGGATTTGAATGATCTTACTCATGATTTAGAAAACATCTAGAGGACCTATGGGATTTGATGAAGCTAAATTCTTGGAAGCAGCACGTGAAATTGGCAGTTTAAATCTGGATGGGTATGAGTTCTTTACAGAGTCGCTTAAGGAATCTGTACAATGTAAAATATACAGAAAGTATGAAGAGGTAAGTATTGATATATGTAGGGCATTGTTTTTTCAGAGTTCATTCTCATTTAGGGCGATTCTAATAACTTTAGAATGGTGCTACAGATTGGAACTTATCAAAAGACCACCGGGAATTACTGTTGACCAACAAGTGTTGGATACTGTGACTGGCGCAAAGTCCCTAAAAGCCTTAGATAACTTAAAGCACAGAATGCTGAAACCTATTTTAAACAGTTTTTAAAGCTTTCTGCTTAATTGGTGTAGGTCATGGGGAAATGTTTAATGTTGACATTTGTAGGTTTCTGGATTGTATGAATACAAAATAACAGGATTGCTTGAAGATGTTGGTCTAGATGTGTGTAAAAACGTTTATATGGACTTAGAATACAGAAAGAAATGGGACGGATATGTCAAGGGTGAGACACACTCACATTTCAATTTATTATTCATTAGTATTTGTCAATTGATAAAAGTAGTGATTGTTTTACTTAACTGTCTAGTGCAACTCTGAATATAATACTAAACAGTTTTAGTAATAAAAATGCAACTGCAATATATACATTTTATCATTCTTCCAATCTGTAAATTGTGAGGTCAAAGCAAAGCCCAATTGGACTCTTTTAGTGCAGAGCATGGTCTACATGCTCTCAGTGCAATGTTTCAGTCCCTCCTTTCTACATTTAGATATTATGTGGATCTGCCCTTTATTGATACAACTCAGCTGTCAGAAATTTGCCCCAAATGTAATTTGACAAACTGAAAATTAAATCTTACCATCCTGTAAATGAATGGTTGTCTGTTACTTTTGAAAATGTGGATTTTAAAAAAAGCCTAGTTTGAAAAGTAGAAAAAAATTAACTTTCTGATCTTTTTCTTGATTAGAACTTTATGAATTTGATGATAATGGAGTGAAGAGTATTTACTGGAATGTAAACTATCCTTGGCCCATGTCAAACAGAGATGTATCCTAGTATGAAATTTATTAACTCCTAGACGTTTTTTTTTTTTTTTCTAATTTTTGAAATGAGAATGTGCTTGTCTATCACTAATAACCATGGATGTACTAATGAAACTCATCATTCTAACAGTTCTTGTTGTCATCATAATTACTCTTGCCGTCTGCCACTCAACACGCGCATGAAATCATTCTAAAGGGTTAAGTACTGATTTAGTTAAAGCTGGTTTGCCCCACGGCATACAATCTGTAAAACAAAGCCATCCTTGTTAACCTGAAATTTGGAGATGTTTATTCTTGGATCACATTCCCCTTTCCATGTACCCCACTCCGACAGTTAGTTGATTCACTTTCTTTTCTCCAGTCTTGCCCCACTAACTAACATTTATTAGTAAAAATGGATTGAGGGACATCATCAAACTGTTTAACATTTATTCACAAAAATACAGCCATCTTAGAAAAAGAAACCTAATTACTCTTGATTTGGATAAAATTGTACTTGCCATTGATCTCTGATCACTTGTATTTAATAAATATCAAATTTCACTATTGTTTTGGAAATTTAAAGCAGTGTGCAGGAGGCTAAACCCCCCAAGATTTGTAGATAAACTACTAGAAGAGTTTGTAGAGATAACTTTATCCTGTGCTCTTTTTTTCCTTGATGAAACATTTCTGTGTCTAATGCTATAACAGTACATATACACACGAGAACTGCATGAAATGGAAATAAACAGTATTCCAACTGTGGTTGTGTTAGCTGAAAGTAATCCAGTTGCAAAGATCCCAGAAAAATCAGGGGTTGTGAGAGTGAAAGAGTTTCACCAAAGTCTTGTGATTCAGAGTGATGGTAAAGTAGGAACAAAAGGTACTGTACAGGTGGCTTACATTTCAAAGTAATTACATGAAATTGAGCATCTCACATCTTTGAGAGATATTCATTTCAAGTAGATATTCATTTCTGTCAAATACTATCTGACTGTGCTTGTCTAAATTACCTGACATTGTGCAAGTCTAATGAATAAATATTTTTTACTAAATGTGCATTGCCATTTTTAATAAAAAACCAGTGGTGTTCTGAGACATTTATTCAACTTCTTCTAGCATTCATGCATTACTTTGACAATCCTGGAGGAAGTATCCCAACCTGGCTTATCAACTGGGCTGCAAAGGTTTGCTCTCATAAATAAGAATGTATATAATGCCATTTATTGATTACAAACATGATACATTCTAAAAAGAAAGACTGAATTGTTTCTCCTAGACATTTAAAATACAACCTAGGAATATGTCTACTTTACTATTAAATTAGATTTCTCTCATAATTTAAGCTCCAAAATTGGGTGAAAAGTTCCAAAAGCCTCTTACTGTCACCCTTGACCACTAGGCACTCTAAGGTACCAAAGATACTAATTAACAATTATTCGCCAAAGGTGAGGTAAATATCGTCAAATAATCCCCGAGACGAAGTTGAGGGGATTATTCGATAATATTCACCAAACCTGAGGCGAATAATTGTTTTAGTATAATTTAAGAGCTGAACAACAGTGAAATTTCTAAAATCATAACATTTTACTAACATTTATTAACATTTTATTTCAACATTTTATAGAAACCACGTGGAGCGGTTTATATAGCATCATATAAGGAACCGCTCTACCAATCAGACTGCTGGAAACTCTTTGCACAGCTCTAAAATTATACCAATGATGTATTAGTATGATGCATGTCAGTTGATTTTTTTTGTTCATTTGTCCTTAGACTGGAGTGCCAACCTTTATGAACTCAATGAGAGATGCTTGTTTAGGTTATAAGAAATGGATTTCTTCAAAGGGGACTTGACCACAGTGGATCTCATGAAGGGAAAGTTACTCTTAGACTACTTTTTTCCAAAATAGCGTGTATTCACTAATATCAGAAAGTTAACTGCACTTGCACTGTTTGTGATGAGCCTGGTGACTATGTTTGGACAACCTGAAGAAGTTCTTCAAATGACTTCTTTTGATTCGCTAAATGACCATGTAAATTCAAGAATGTAAAGTGGCAGAAATTGACTTTAATTTTTTTAACAAAATTATTAAAATACTACCATGAAGCATAAAAATTTTGCAAGGTCTTTAACCAAATTTCTGGTCCAAACAAGAAACCATTACAAAATGTGCATGCAAATCAATAATTGCTGAAATAATTTTTTCATTTCTAAAACAATTCAAAATACTGAGCTCCATATAAACTTCCATTTGGCTCCTTTCTCTATTACTCAACAAATTAAGAAATTGAAAATAATAGTTCTCTTTTTTTGTCATATCTTACTTTTTGAAGAGGAAATTGCAAATATAAGTTTCCAGAAGTAGAGTGGATACTAAAACCACAGACAGTTCTACATGTACACATATAATAATTGATACATATGTGTCACATTCAGTTTGAGGGTGACATATACAGAATGAGATAAAAAACAACCAACTACTCTTGAGTTTTATATCTCTATTTGCAAGAATATAAGATTGTTACAATTTCAAGTTTGGGTTTGGTTATTGTCATTTCATGTCCAGAGAGAAAAATTAATAATGTCAGATGATATGAACATTTATTTAGCAATTCCTCACAGCATGCAATTTGTAATATTCTATTGAATATATAGTCTACTTATTTAATTTTTTCCATTAAAAATAAATATATTCCTGACACAATTATTTCCACATGTTCATGTTTTATCTGTGTTATTTGAACATCATATACTGTACATCAGAAAATAAACATATGGTACAAGAACCTCAAAGTCATGTTTTTCCTGTGTTTTGTGCTGTGTTATTTGAACATCATATACTGTACATCAGAAAATAAACATACGGTACAAGAACCTCAAAGTCATGTTTTTCCTGTGTTTTGTGCTGTGTTATTTGAACATCATATACTGTACATCAGAAAATAAACATATGGTACAAGAACCTCATGTTTTTCTTGGGTTTTTAAGCTGATTTGAAAAAGTTTACACCTAAAGAAAAGTTGAACCACAGCATAAACATGAATGAGAATGACCAAAAGAATTTGATGGTAATACCTTCACTCTTTGATTTTCATAGTCTTACTTTCACTGATACATATACACAGTGAGACACTTTGATGGGCCAAATACACAAGCATTAATATAACAAGCCATAGGATTCTGGATCCCTGAATGAACACTTTGATCCTCCGTTTATTTCACACCATGTTGGTGAAGTATTCTTTGGAAGTCTTGACTGCTGAAGGGCTTGAAACTAACCGTAGCCCACTAGCCACAGACTGGTAGAAATTCAGTTTTGGCTAGAGGTTTTCAATTTCCACTAGCCAGTTTGGCTAGTAAACAGACTGAAATTGTCCCAACATCTAAAAACATCTAAGATGTCACTAGCCACTTGGGTAGTAAGTTGAAAAATTAGTGTCGAGCCCTGTGCTGTTACTTTTTCATTAATGGTACCCAGAATTTTCCATTCCACCAAAGCCCCAGAGATTCTCCAGCCAATTTAGCTTATACCCATCCAAAAATTAATGATGTTTGGTGGTGTCTGAGTCAGTGGCTATTTCTTGATGTAATGCATAAAGCTGGCATAACTGCTCATTGTTTGCACTTGCCAATTGATCCTCTGATAAGTAGCTTCCAAAGTCCTTGCCTTGTTCTTGTTGTCTTTCTAGCATATCAGCATACATCTACAAATGAATCAAATATTGAAAAATCCATCATTTGACATGTGGGTGCTTAATGGGTGTATCTTCCTGTCAGCAAGTAGGGTGGGGTCTGGTCAACAGCTATGTGTATAATTACTACAGATAATGAGGATGAATACAGAAAAGACAGCCCTCACCCAACCCTAGCTGGTTTGATGGATATTCCACAGAAGTCAAGGTTCCAGAGGAAACTCCCTTTAATACAGGAGAAAGAGAGATAACGTAATAAAGATGAGCATTGAAAGTGAAGTTTAAAAAGGAACTCTTAAAGTTCAAAGACAACAGAGTGTTATTTTGTAGGTAATAATAATAATAATAATAATACTTTATTTACCCACGTATCACCTAAGAGCTAATAGCTCGTTTAAAACATGAACGTGAAACTAATTACAAATAATGAGCTAATAAGAACTAATATCAATAGATAAAAATATTGAAAAGCTATATATTATCTAATTTGTATGTACTATCTAATTAATAAGCGAAAGTTGTTAAAAATCGAGTTAAAGCCTCGCCATAAACGAATGCAACACGCGCCTAAAGGCAGCCAAGTCTGGACATTCCTTTACTCTAGTAGGCAAACCATTCCATTCCATTCCAGGTATGTTTCAATGGGTTGATTTCCACTCCATTACTGCATCAATTATGAATGCAACAGGCTGACTTGAAAAACATCTTTAATTACAGTACTCTTTAATGGTGGTAGTTGATATAAGCCTGATTCTTTCCTGTCTTTTGTTCTCTCGGCAAACTACTCCTGCCAATGCTTCTTCTTGCATAGACTAGTACTTTTACAGAAACACTACTATTAAATCTAACTAAAACATATTGTTTAGTTTCTTTGATTTTTAGTTTCCATGGCCCATTACAATTTTATCTCTGCTGACATTGCTTATGCTTCAAAGCTTCCTCAACCACAAAAAATGCTACCTTATAGCCTACACAACCTGAGTTCTGATGTCATATTGTGAAAGAGGCAACTTGAACAACTATGCATTGGTACAAAGCTGAGTTTGGGCATAAATATCTTATTTCAGTTGTATTTTCCAAAAGACATGAAGTAACAAGGAACTCTTGCTATTTTGTAGCATTGTACTATAAGAGAACTGCCACCTTAATGATGGTTGTTTTAATCAAAGTGCATTATGAACTTCAGTTTTGTCAGATAACTAAATATGCAATCCTTGGGCTTACTATCAAACATGCCACAGTTGCTCTCAATATTTAGAACTTGCACCTTTTGACGGGACTACATCAACTTGAAATTATTGACACTTAAAATGTAGCTCTCATTGCGTACCTGGATTTTGATGTGAACATCTGGGAAATCTACCATGTGCTCTTCAAAAGAAGAACTAGTTGTATTCGTACTAGCATATTTTTTGTTACTGTAAATTGTTGTTGTTGGACACTCTAAGCTCGAAACAGTCAGTAAGTTTTGTTGTATTTCATGCGCATTGTAATTTCACTTGCTAAAGTGTACTTTCTGTTTGCAGAAAACCTGCCTTACTGGTTCAATTGTGGTGAAAATAAACAGTTGAGTTTTCAATTTCAAGCACAATCTTATGCGTTTCTGTGAAAAAATGTAATATAAAGTTAATATAAAATAGTAAACTATTCTAATTCAAGGGCAACATAAAAATTTTTGACAGCATGGGGTGGTAAAAGTTTACAATCAATTCACCACCACAACAAACTCCCCACCACCAAATTTGCCACCATGGAGAGTCAAATTGCCACCAGTGACAATTTGACCCAAGCAATGTGTGTATCTTCTCATAATTATGAAACTTACATCAAATGAGAGTTCTGTTGTACAGTAGTTCTTTACTGCAAAATAAGAAGTGTTAACAACAGCAGCAGAAGGAACTCAAACTTTATGTGTAGCATCTTAATTATCACTGTTGTCACAAAGATTGATTGGTTTACATAGGGGGAAACCAGACTGATTTTCTCCTATGTTTAAGAAACTGCAAGAAACTTACATTAAGTGAAAGCTAAGATATACAGTAGTAGTATTTTGTGACTTTGAAAGCACATGCAACTATAGTGACGTTTAAAGAAACAGACTTGGTCTTCTTTCTCTGTGTTAAGCACAGAGAAAGTAAAACTAAACATGGAAGTAATCTTTAACAAATGTTTCATTCTTATGAATGCAATTCATAAACAAATGAAGATTTAAAAGGTTAGATCTCAAAGTTTTTTAAATAATTTTGGTTAAATGAAGATCCAAATTAAAAGTGCCCACAAACACAGTGCTAGTTTTTAGAAAACGATTTGGTGTCCTCTGAGAGTCCCTGAGATCAAAGTTTGAATTTATTAGAATCCCGATGTTTGGAACACGTGATGCACTCTCACTCGTTTTTAACATTTTTCTTAACGATTTCTGGGTTCTGCAGGACAGTTTTCATAAGACAGTCAAGTTACTAAACCTAAAGAAAGTATTCTTAAGCGGATTGAAAGCGTATTTCGGGCGGTTTCGAATAACTGAACAAATGCGGCCATCAGAGGGACTATCGATTACATACTTATTCTAATAAGGTCAAAGTTATATTCTTTGCCTTTCAGGAACTTCTAAACAATGCCCAGTAGCTTTCTGAAAAATTCCGCCGTGTTCGTGTGCACTCCTAATTTCGATTTATCAAACCCAAAAAAATGAATATCGGTTAACTTCAAGAACTATGCTTTCATATAATATAAGTTTCATTAGATTTGATTGCGAAATGTGTTTAAATAAGAACGAAACTCGCGTAAAAGGTCACGTCGCTATTCTTTGTGAGCTTTTGTACTTAACACAAAGAAACGACGTCCAGTCCGTCTCTGTTGACTTCGCTGTATTTTTAAGCGCTTTCATGTCACAATATACAACTACTTCTTAGCCTTCATTTGACGTAAGTATTATACGATTTCATAAACATCGGTGCAGCAACTTACCTTCCACTCTTGGATGAATTCTGTGAGTTGTTCCCGTGTGGCATTTTTGTGTCTCCTAAACTCATCTTTTAAATACTGGTCTCCTAAAGCCTTAGCTGTGAGAGGAAGGTTCCTGTGTAGCTTAAGAATACGGCGATAGAGCCTCACAGAAGTGTTCATATTATACTGATTGCAGGCAAAACTGAAAACGTAAACCACGAGGACAAAGAAAGTAACAGGCGCAGAAGTCGTTTCCAGTCTCCCACCGTTGTTTACTTTCGTACACTGCCAAGAAATGAAACGATCTAGGGAAGACATTCATGTGAATACATTTACAACACTAATAGTGTATTATGGCTTGCAGGTGAAGCTCGTTGTGGGAAGTCGGGTTTGATCTATTTCGGCGTTCCCTATCGCCCAGAATGCTCATCCAACGAATGCCGAATTGGAATAGAATAAGAACGTCGGCCGCAGGTCATTGTTTAAGGTAGAAATGGCGACTGTCACTCAATCAAATGCATCTGGAAGCCCGAATGCTACGGGAGTGTGGAATCGATTGTCTCCAGAAGAGTTTCAACAGCTCCAGGAGTACACTAAGTGTAAGATATTTTACTCCTTTTTTCGTCGTTTTGGTTTAACAAAGTACTTGAACACGCTGTTAATGTTTGGTGCTGTTTAGAGATATACAAACCGTGGCGTTACGGATGAGTCATTCCATTCTCGTTTCGAACATAACCATTTCCGAATTAAAAGAATTCGATGCCATTTCTTCTTTTGGGTATTAGCATACGATACCATACTGATGCCTGATTATTTCACAATAAAATATTAACGTGGCCGAAGTGATATAATCTGGAACGTGAGTCGTCCATGGTGTATTCTTTTTAATTCTAATCAAAGAGATCTGCTTAGAACGCCATACATTACGCTAAGCTTACGAAATGAAGGTTACATTGGGGTCTCCGTGTTTACATGTCTTTCCTATGGTGTATATTGAGGGAAAGTGACATAAATATTATTATGTTTCAGTGTTACTCTTTAACAATATGTCTAAAACGAGTTGATAACAAAACGTTGAACACGTACGTAGATTGCCTAACGAAAAACGAATCCGGATTTTAATACTTCAGTATTACACTAAGCCTTATACTCTTAGGTGTTCTTCCAGTAATAATATGGCGGCTAGTGTTATTAGTCTAATTTTCACATGTATAAACAATGATGTTCGTAATTTTAAAGACAAGGGAAGATTTGGGTGGGTGTTCTGGTGAGAGTATTTTGTGGTCGAGCCCTTCGTTGCCTATGTCGGAACAGACGAACAAAAATGTAAATTCTGATTTGTGCGGTGTTATTGATGTGCGGTGTGGTAGATTTTTGTTTTTCGGTCGAACATCGTTCGGTGTGTTTTAGTTAGCTTTCGTATTTTTGTTATTTAAATTTTCTCAATTTCGATCCTTAAACTCCTTAGTTAAAAAGTATTTTTCCTTAACGCTTTCTCAATCTAAATTTCCTTCAATATCATAGTATTATTTTTTTATTATTTTTTTTTTGCCATTCTTATTATTCAAATGTTCCTGACGCAATTTAAATGAACAGTTTATGGCGACACATTATACCCACGACTTGTTGGCGGTTCCATTCGAATCTTGTGTATCCGGGAGCTAAAACGAAAATATTGAAGTTGATTTTTAATCTTCTCTTCTGAGTTGTGGTTACTGAGAAAGGTTGACTTATACAAATATACACGTTTATGTCTCCTGGTTTAGGGAAGATAAGTGTTAGGTTGCGTTTCGTTGTGATTTACACATGCATACTCAGAAAGTTGAACTCTTTTCATCCAGAGAAAAATTGTCAGAAGATCTTTTCTTTTTGTGGTGAGATTTTTTAAAATTTTAGATTTTCTAGCAATTATATTTCTGAATTTTTCAGTTACACCCACTGGTGTTTAATATTATCTAAAGAAATGTCTAAGTGTTGTCATAAAAAATTTATAGCTTTTGGCACACAAACACAGGTTGACAAACAAAATATCACTCCTTTCACTTGATATGAAAGGCGCAGACATGTGAAAACATAATCAAAATTTTGCCTCAATAAATCTTGGGGAAGCCATCCTCAGATTTGTAAATCATTACAACTGATGATTCTTGAAAGTTTTCTTCAAATTGCTGTTAAGTTTTCTATCAACTGTGGCATTAAGTAGTCTTCAATATTCAAGTCAACACCCTTTGAATTACCTGTAGTTGTTTATCAAACTGCTGTGTAGTTGTGTCATATAAGGCCTATGCATATAGAACTGCATGAGTACAATGCATGTTAGTTTGTAACTCTTTAAATAGGAGATTGCATGTTGTTGTTCATGTAAATTGTGTTCTACCAGCAAATGAATGAAAGTGAGCTGCATATTTATCTATAGATAACCTGTGCTCCACTGTATTTCACCAAGTTTCAAAATACACACTTCATCTACAATTCTCGGCTAGGTGCTTAATTGATGAATTTTAATATATACTTCACTATTTTATGTTTTACCTTTATGGATGTGGTTGGTTGTATTAATGATTCCCTACTGTTCTGGAGAATGTCTAAGCCAATAACATCCAAATAAACTTTATCAAACCTTTTTGTTTCCTCTTAAAAACAATTAGACTTTTTTTTTGCAATTACCATGGGATAGCATTTCCATAAATTGAGAAATTTCTCAGAAAGCTTTGATATTTAGCTTCTTGTAAAGCTTTTAGACAAAAGCCTAATGTGTGATAATGATTTCTGTCATGATAAAAGTGTTATGATTTTAATGGGAGACATTTTATATATGTCAGATGTTAATTCATTCTAGGGACAAACATTCTGAAGTGTTATTCATTCTTAGTTGTAAAAGAATAATAATTTGAATATCCATAAATTGAAATTTCTGAGTATTGTAACAAGTGTTCTAAAATAGTAACTAAATGAAAAACAGTTGCAATCAAAGCTGTTTTGCTGGTGGAAATCATGTGTGTTCTGGGACATTTTACATTTTATAAATGCTGTGTCTTCTGTGGAGGGATTTTCATTTGTAATAAATACAGTTTAAAATGAGATCTCCATGTGGTATTCATTGTGCAGTTTGTTTTCTATTTTAAATTTAGCCTTTTATCAAGAGTCTCTTCTTTATTTAAATACCATTTTTTTAAAAACTCTAGATGCCAAGACACGCCGACTGACAGATGTTCTCCAACAGTTCCGTGATGGGGTTTACCCTCAGTATAACCCAGAGAAGGTAAGTGTAAAATGCACTTAGTTCCCCTCATACTGTAATAACTAACATTTAAACTCTCATGAATAATTATTTCAATACTTTTAAACATGACAGTCTACCATTATAATTTTTATGTAAATGTACTAGTACATGTCAGATTAATTTTTTCTTTTGCCTATCATAAGATTATAGAATATTGTGACAAGGTTTCTTTACACTCACCCAATATAAAAGCTTATTGTTCATGAAAATTATGCAGCTGTAAAGGTGTAATCGTGCATACATGTATTATATTTGGTATTTTATTCTTTTTTTGATCAGATTCAATTTTTTTCTGATGAGTACTTCTAAATCATGTGGGGCCAACTCTCACTCCCAGTTGGGCTGTACATGATTTTAGAAATTGAAATCAACAATGATTGAAAGGGGCAATGTCACGCTGTGAGTTTTCACACTGGCTTCTTCTAAATTGACACTTAAAGGTGTCAAATAGATATCTTTTCTCAGAGTGATCAATTAGAAGCAGAGTGTGTGGCTGACAATCACAAAATGTTTCAGTCACATAGTGTTGTGTATGATCTAAGGTAATTACTGGTACAATTCATTCTGTAGACACTTTTTGCACTGTTTCCTGTGAGCACAGATGGCCCAAGCGTACTGTGTGATTTTGGAGTCTGAAGGTCACTAACCAGAAAACGTAACATATTAAGGTCAAATTTTAAGCATAAGTGTGGGCCATTTAAAAAAAGGAAAAGTTGTTAAATAAAAAATAATTAAAAGAAAAATTAAATAGGATGATAAATGCAAGGAATATATAACATACTGAGTCTCCTTACTTTTTTTCCATAACTGCTTTGTCACCAACAGTCATTTTAACACTGTTTTGGTGATTTTTTTTGTAATACATGTGGTGCTACCAGTCAACTGTACATAGAAAAACACAAGGCTGGTCACTTCAACCAGTCCCAAACACCAACCATTGCCACTCAAAGGCTGATATATTGCACAAAAATCAACTGATCTCCCTTAAATTTCCACCTACGAGAGTGCTTTGCTAATACCTACTAGTTCAAACCAGTAGACTGTTTCAAAGAAAGTCACCAAAACAGTTTTAAAATTGGCGACAAAGCAGCTACAGAAAAAAGTAAGGAGACTCAGTATGTTATATTCCTTGCTTTTATTATCCTTCTTAATTTTTCTTTAGTTTTTTATAATTTTTCCTTTTTTTTCAATGGCCTGCACTCACACTTTAAATTCAATCTTAATAATTTATGTTAGGTGTTCCTGTTAATGACCTTTAGTCTCCAAAATCACACACAGTATGCTTGGGCTGCCTGTGCTGTGAGTTACAATAAATTTCAGAAATTTCAAAAAGGCTTCCTCCCAGAATTTATTCTTGTAATATATTCCTCTGACTCCTTTTTGATCTCTTCTTTTATTTGAGCTTCGGGAGCTTGAAATGTACCATGCAATTCTGAATCTGGTTTGGGGGTTAAGTAATTGACTTCAGCAGGTTGTGTGTTGTTCCTGTCTAACTCTAAGTGACTCAACAGGCCGGTTGGCCATGTCTTGGTGCTACATTTAGTTTCATTATGGTTTCTAAACAACAGCCTTCTTAATAACATAATGCATTGAGTTTCTAGTTGATATAAACTATAAAAGAATTGTAGGAGATAGTGACTATTATGAATAGTTCTTGCAGTTGAACAGTAGCCATTGAAACATGTTTGTCTCAAATTTGAATTTAGTATTGCATGGCAAGTGTGAAAATTATAATATTCCAATGTAAATATAACATTTCTTCAACTAAACTGTAATAAAAACAGTCCTTTGTTGCACCAATGTCACCAGTATTTTCAGTTATAAGGTATGACAATAATTGACTAATTGATTGATAATAATTAATCAGTGAACCACAAATTCTCCATTTGTCTTTTAGCCAAAATTAATGAGATTTGAACATTTTTTGAGACGAAAGATTGAACTGAAAGTACTTAATATACACTGTATAATTTTTTGATGACTTGTTTTTCAAGATATGAAGATTTATTTTAGGTCAGAGTGATGTAAACAGTATTTCTGACTGTTAAATTTGAGCAGGGCCAGCTAATGCTCCAAGATACTATCCTCAATATATTGGAAAGATGTTAGGTGACATTATAATGCATCCCCTCTACCCACCCCTACTTGACTCGTACTTTTGTCACTAGAGAGTGGTGTCTAAATGTCTCTCCAGAAACTACAGCTGTAACACTCATTTAATTGATTCTATACTATCCAAACTTAAAAGGAAAAGGCATCTTATGAATACAAAATGAACAACTATCCTTGATAACAAACCATTTTCAATTTTAGCAAATTGACCTTGAGTTACATGTACAAAAGCAGGAACTTGAAATCATTCTAAGGTTTTTGGGAATTAAAATATATAGAGTAACACTTACTTTAAGTTTAGCATTGCATGGAACGTACTTGCAGCATTAGTTTCTGCCTTTAAATATTCATCTCAAACTGCAATTTTTGTACTTATGAAGGGATTTTTTTGGGGCATGTTGACTTCATGAATTACATTACACATCCTCCAACACCTGCATCACTTTCCTCAGACAGGTGCTGTGGATGGTTTACAACTCGTACCATTTGTGGTGTAGTTATCACTTGCTCAGTGTGGATTTATTTAATAAAAGTTAGATAGCACTGAATACCTCTCTGATTTTATCTTCCACTTGCAAATGATTTCAAGATATTGAGGATATTAATCTGATTTTGTTCCAATGTTTTCTCAGATGTTTAATTATTATGAATAACTGCACATTACATTTGCAAGTCAATGTGATCACGTACACATGTACAAAATGTCTCTAATTGTAATTAAAGATAATCCATCAAGTAAAAGCTTTGCAAAACTTTATACTTGTGGAATATTTCAAGACATGGAATATCAAGGCTAGTCAGCCTGACTGCTTTTGTAGAAGATCTTTCACTAATTTGTAGTTCCCTCAGTGCAAATAAAATCATACTAGATCTAAAATGTAGTACATTTTCATATTGATCAAAAAATAGTAATACAAAAAGCACGAGAAATATAAGTTATGCAAATTTGGAAAACAACAAAAAATGACAAAATTTGTTCATCATGCTTTCTGTTCTGGGATGGAGTGACACATGTGCATTGAAGAGAAATTTTGAGGAAAAAATAAGTGTACATTTATTTATCAAAAAAATTCAGAAAGAAGAAATATTGACATTAATTTTAGACATCAGGAATTAATGTGAAAGGGTTAATCATTAAATTTACTCAGATCCACATTAATTTTTAAGCCTATAAGTTTTTTAAGTCAAGGCTTTTCATTCTTGATGTTTTTTGTTTTTCAGCCAATGGACTATGAAGGCTTCAAGTTATTTATGTCTGCTTATCTTGGTAGTAATGTGAGTGAGGAATTATGTGAACATCTCTTTTGGGCATTCCATAAACAAGTCGCTGTGCAGTCTCCATCTTTGTCACAAACTATCATAGATAGTGTAGCTGTATCAGTGGTTGCATCCAATTCGCAACAAGATCTAAACAAACCTGACAGAAGACGTAAGTACTTTCTGCCATTGGCTTTCAATTCAGCTAAAAAATTAATCTTTTTAGGAATTAATCTTTACTTAATGTAATTAACTAAAGGTAAACACAGGTACAAATTTTCAAATCTTCTTTACCCAAGAGATAATCAAGATAGTCCATCTCATGTACTTTAAAATGGTATGCTTTTGCATGGGAAAAACATTTCATGAATGACACCATTCCAGACTTGGCAAAGTTTGTCTCACCTCAAGTTTCTCATATTTGACTGTCTTCATTTATTTTGTACCCAAGAAATGGTGAGGTTCATTTGTTAGTAAACAGGTATTTTGGGGGAGATTTTCAGAATGAGTGAATGGCTGGTCAAGTAAGAGTTTTGTGCTGATTTTTTTTAAATAAATCATTTGGTGAATTTGTATTTCCTTCTGATGAAGATTGTGTGTACACATACATTTAGCAGTTTTCCTTGACCTAAAAAATAATACACAATGCACTCAGAGAAAATAAATGAAGTACCATCTTTTTTACTAATTAGAGTGCAGCTCCAAAAAATGGTGTACTGAATTCCTAAGTTTAAGGCAAATATACGACACCCACCCTCTTGTATACAGCCAGTATCAACTACACATTTCAAAGAGACAGTTGGAATCCAGAAGATCCAGGGTCTTTCCTTTCCTTTTTCCTTAGCACCAGAGAAACCCACTGTTGAATTCTATTTTCAGTGTACATTGGAGCATAAAAGGGAAAAAATGTACAGTTTAGTTGAGTTCATCTGTACCTTTGCCGACTGTGTGTAATGCACAATTTATTGTGTCATTATTCTTCTCCTAATCACTTGGTAGTAAAGGATTTTCTTCCACTTGAAAGCTTTATTACAGGATGTTTCCAGTCTCTGATATGAGGCCACTTACATTTAATCTTTTTGAAGGCACTGAACACAGACTCACATTGTTCACGATACACCTTCAAACCCACATTTTAAATTGTATCAGATGCACAGAAAGTCAATGGCATCATCATGGTTGAATTTTAAGCTATTTTAATTAAATGGATAATTTAAATTTTTTTTATAGAAAAAGAGTAAAAATTTGACTCGCCTTTAGTGAGACTAAAATTTAAAATTGACGTATTTAATATCTCAGTAAAGTTCTCTGACTTGTATATTAAAGAGAATTTGTACAATTCATTTCAAATTTCAATCATGGGTTTAGTACTTGAAACAAAATTTAGAATTGAATAAATAATAACCATCGCTATTACCTCTTTAACATCTATTCCACCTCACCTTCTAAACAAGTGAAGTTCAGGGTTGGTTTTTTTATTTCAGTGAGAAAAATCTCTTTTCATCATACATGTACATTGCAGCCGGTTATAAATTTGACTTACTTTTCCTTAATGTGTATGGTGTGAAGACACTTATTGATTAAAACTTATTGAGCACATCTTGTAGTAATGTCTGTTAATGTCATTTTTATCACCTTTATAAAATTTGTTATAAATTTACGTAATATGAGCATACATTAAACACGTCAGTAGAATTATAAATTGCATTTGATAATTATGTCAACAAAATAACTCTTAACTCACATTAATTCATTTGAAACTTAACTACACATTCAGTTTCAGAAATTCCAGGTATCCACAGTGGAGCTGGAACAGCAGCGCTGGTTGCCACAGCAGCTGCAATAGGGGTTGGTGATAAACCTGAAATAACACTATCTAAAGCCAATGATGATGTTGCAGAGTCCAATGTTAAAGCTAATGGATCACCCACAGTTAAAACTAATAATAATGATTCTAAAGGCAGTATACAACCTTCGCTCACACTGTCACCAGCGCCTGCTCAAGATACTTTAGGGCTTGGTACGTGGGGGCGAAAGTCACCTGATTTAAAACATCACTTCCGAAGACATTCTAGTGGCTCATTTATGGGTTAGTAACTACATTTTAACACCGGCTTATAATCACAAATTGAATCCATTTAAAATTTCATGCTAATTGTTTTTGTTTTAAAGACATCGTTTTCTTTAACAGCATTGAACAGCATTTTTGTTTTTTTTGTTTGAAGATGTTAATAATTATATAAATGATATGTTTCTTAAATTTTGTACTTGTGGAAACATTTATAGTTTATAATTGTACTTCTGATCTAAATAATTTTGGTTACACTTTATGCTGTGGGAGTTTGAGAATATGTTGGAGGCAGAATCTTTGTAGAACCACATGGAATTTCATTTGTTGAATTATCCCTCCCAAGAACTATTGTCATTATAACTTTTGAAGACAATGCCACTTTGCCAATCCTGTCATGCGTACCAAGCGTTTATCTAGCACATTTTCTGCCATCTATGTGCAGGCCTTAGCAGTTTTCGTAGTATGAATTTTTACAAATTTTTATAGATTAGCTTAATTCGTGATGTAAAACATGGACTGCAAACTTCGCGTGTTGTGACTTCGATCAAAGCCGACATTATAACCAATGTGCACTTATTGATAAGCTTAGCAACAACGGGAGTGAGGTTATCGCGGCTGGCAACTTACCAGCTTAATTTTATAGGTTTTAGTACTTTTTCATATTATAAGCTTTGTATTAATGGAATTTGTAAATTCGTGCAATTCAGCCTTAGATGGCTGCCATATGGATTCAATTAAAGCTCTACTTTACTTTACTTTACTTTACTATGAAATCAATATAAAAATAAGAGAGTTACACAGCTACCTCAAACTGCTGATAAACCCCCAAATTTTTTTTTGCTTAAATAAATCTTTTTATAATTCTGAGAAAAATGGCACAAACATTTTTGTTTTTGGTTGAAAGCTGAATTTTCTATGAATTTTTAAAGTGGCGGAAAATTGAGATTCGAAAACCCATGACCGAGCAGCAGAACCTGGTGAAAGGGAATGAATTGAGTGTAATTTGTGACATAACCCGGACTGTGACTTAGCGTGTTGTGACTTGGATCAAAGCTGACATTATAACCAATGTGTACTTATTGATAAGCTTAGCAACAACGGGAGTGAGGTTATTGCGGTGGGCAACTTACCAGTCTGAGACTTTATCTGTACCATTTAGACGCTTTTGGAGCGCCTTCTCTAGGACCTCTTCCTCCTTTGTCTTGTTCATACAACTCTTGTCTATCTGTTCCTTGTCCGCTAGTGGATCGTCGCCATATGCCTCGTGCATGTCTTCCTCATCGCTGGCCGTAGAACTTGAGATTGGTGAACCATCAACTTCCAAGTCATAATCTTTCATTTCTGAGACTTCAGAATCTGAACTAGAGGTCGGAATGAAGTCATACGAAGCCATTTCTTCATCAACGTGTGTGCAGAAAACAAATGTCAACCGAATAAAAATGGTTTTCAATGGTGCACAAAGAAAACTACGTGTCTCCAGCTCGCGTCTTCTCAGTTGTCCAGGTTTTATGTCACTAGTCCCAGTCTCCCTTTTACTCAGTCTGGGAAGAAAAAACCAGACTTAAAAAATTTATAATAAATTCCAGATTTGACCAAAAACAAAAATTTTTGTGCCATTTTGCTCAGAATTATAAAAAGATTTATTTAAGCAAAAAACAAATTGGGGAGGTTTATGGGCACTTTAAATATTATCCCTTTTTTGTAAACTTGATGGAGTTTAAAATGAGTGATACAAAATTAATTTAAAAAGAATGAAAAGACAAGGGCAAATTGGGTAGTGTTTTGCAAATTTTTGAAGTTGTTTACAACTGTACATAACTTTCCTCAACAAACTGTGCTGTAATGGTCTTCCTCCATTGTAAGCAAACTCAAACAAATTTAAATGATTCTAAATTATCACTGAATGTGACTTAATTGAAAAGTAAGATATAGAAATCTTTATCACTAAAATTGCAACTTAATTGATGTTAAAATGTAGTCTCGCCATGCATTTTTGGTCTGTTATTGCTTTTACTTTTGGTTACTTATTAATTACTTAAAAATTGAAAAAACCCTTTGCCATAATGAGTTACTGCAGCTGCAATGTTTCCTTGGTTCCTTTTTCCCACAAAAAACTGAATTAATCAATGGAAATCATTTGAATTATGTCCTTCATTTGTTTTACATCCAACTGCTCAGGAAAATTTTAACAAGCCTTCACTTGTTCCCGAAACAGAAACAAACTATGCTTAATTATGCTTATGCTCAGAGAAAATTGTTACAGAAAGACAATTTTATTAAAGACATTTATCAAAAACTTAAATTGTTACACCACACAGAAAAACTTGGAATTACTTGGTAACATTTTTCTGAAAGATATTTTTCCAACTAAATGCCCCCTCACTTGGACAACATTTGACTGAAAATATGTCATTAAACTTTAATTAATGAAATGGTTTTCAACAAGAAACAGAAAATGTGTAATTTGGTCAGAACTGTGGACAGTAGAATTCTACCACTTCAAACTGCAATGGGAAAATAGCACAACATTTAAAATGAATGGGAAAAAAATAGTTATGCTTGTAGGAAGTGGTTGTTAGTCATTCCTATGAGAAGTTGAACTTAACCAAAGTAGAGTTAGCAAGGTTCTACCATAGCTCTCATCTATATTTTGTTAGTTTGCTGGGATAACTCAAGTGCATAGTTACGCGTACTATACTCAAGATGTACCATGAAGGTGAACCCCCCTCGCTCCCAGCATTTGATTCTTTGTTCTCCCCTCTAGCTGCCAAATGTTTCTTAAGTTACAATAATTTTGTGTTAGGTCAAGATAGCAACTTTGACCTGCTAAGTTTGAGTATTCTCAATGCCTTTTTGCTAGATATAGAAAATGCTAGAGACCTTACATGGTAATAATTTCTAAGAGTTAAAAAGGTTAAGGTTACTTTTTGAGTCCCTTAATGTGTTGGATTCATGAAAATAGTTGACCTAAAATTATAAAATAACTGGACTGACTGTAATAACAAAGCAGCAGTATTGGGCAATTGCTTTAATGGTGGTATTCCACTGTTTGCTTGTATTAGAAAATTTGGTCTTAAATGTCAGCAAAACCTTTTTGTGATTTTGTTCCATTGACAGCTTTTAAAGTGGCCAACGAACATCCTCCTGCACATCCCCGCTCAAGTTCGCAGAGAAAGAAAATGTCAAGTGAACATGTGAACCTTCTGAATGCCAATCCACAGGCCAAAACAGTGCCTATGGTTTCCATCAGGGAGATTGCTTGTTATCTTTCCATGCTGGAAGGTGGCAAAGTCGAGGACAAGCTAGAGTGTAAGTATTAGGGCCTATCTGCACTAGCAGATACAGTAAAACTAGAGTTGTCCAGATGAAATCAAAACACAAATTTTGTCTTGACAAATTTTTTTCTCCTCTGTTGCATCTGCACTAAAAATGTCAAAGCTGTTAAATCTGTCAAATTCAGTAACAAAATGAACACACTCAGATACTACAAAATAACACACTCAGATACTACATGTATATTTCACGGTAATTTTATTCAATTTAGCTTTTCCTTTCCTTATCCTTTGAGTGGGTACTTCTGGATCTTGTGGCACATTTACTGCTTCATTGTTGGACTGATAAAGTGGAGACTGGAAAATCACTCCACCGTTGTATCTTGCCCCAGCTGCATCCAGCGCCTGACCTGCTCATAAGACTGGCCGCTATAATTTGTGTATGGATTCAAACTCCAATTACCAGGATTCATTTTAAGTTGTTTAAAGTTGTAAAATCCGTGAGTTTTGCAATGAAAGACAATTAAAGCAATCTTTTGGTAAACTTAACTCAGTTCAATTACCACACTGGTGATGGCATTTACGATAAATGGTTGACACTGAAATTTATCATGGTTTTTGTTTATTTAGTCAATTTTGCCGAGGTTTTACCCAGGACAAATTTTATCATACCCTATGAGCAGAGCCTTTTCTTCTTTTCTTCTTTTCTTCTTCTTTTCTTCTTTTTAACCCTCCAAGGGAAAAGGCTCTGCCAACATCCTGTCGTTGCTTTGAAATTCCGAAAGCCCAAAACTCCGGGCTAGTCAAGCCGGTTTTGGTGCGCATGCCTTTGTTTTTCATGTACACAGATGACCAAATCTGCACCCACAATAGTTCTAGGGGGCCTGGAAAAGGATCAGTTTTTAGGCAACAGCTGTGCATGTTCAAACGAGCAACAACAGGATGTCGGCAGAGCCTTTTTCCCTTTTTGCTTCAAGGATGGGTTAAAAAGGCTCTGCTCGCAGGTTAATTTTGTCAGCAGTGTGTTTGAAAATTTGCCCGCTTCAGCCAAAATTTGTTAAGTTGCAGCAAACCATCTGCACTTGTAAAGTGTTGGTGATGATAAAAAATTTGTCTAAATAAACAATTTTGTCTCTTGTGCAGATAGGCCCTTAGTAACCAAGAATGATATGCTAACATGGTTACTGATGATAACTTGTGGCATGTTCTTCACTTGGTCCTCAATTTATTTAGATCTCACCAAATGAAAGGATTGACTTGATTTCGTGATGCTGCTAGTTTCTTTTGTCATTCTATTATCCCTACAATTTGTCCTGTTTGATGGTCACAGTACACAATTTATGTTTATTTTTCTCTTTTTTCTGGCATGATTGGTGAGGGTCTTGTCAATTATATTTTTCTTTTGGTGTAGCTTGGTATAGTGGTGAAATTACTCTTTGTACATTTACATTTACATTAAAGTTACAGCAATGTTTCTAAGGTTTTATCAGGAAATGAAGTTGATTGGTTGTGTCATTTTTAATTAATTGTTGATGGTAATACTGATTGCAGCTGCATATTACCATTAATGATTGTGAGGTAGTACATAAACAGGTGTTTTTATCACATAATGAATAGTAGAATACTGTCAAAAGACATTTGTATAGGGCTTATTGTCAGAGCTACAGGGTTGCTTCACTCACATTATCCTGATTTTAGTTTCAATTGAAATTCACTGATAGTCATTGCAGCTATATGGAATGTATAATGTTAATGATGTTATTGAAAGTGTCAAGTGTGGTTCTTGTCTTTCAGTTGTTTTCAGAGTTTATGACAGTGATGGAAATGAGTATCTAGATTCCCAGGTGCATATTGTTTACCTTGTTTTAAATTGTTAGAGTTCTTTGTTCAATCATTGGTTATGGTACTTTGTCAAGGTAATATTTTCCTTTAAGTGACTCTTGATACTTTGACAAGGAATAACGAAATGTAGAAACTGTTTGGCATGATTTTCTCTGAATGTGTCTTATATGTTGCTTGTGTGGCAAAGTTTGTTCAAGTAACCCAACTAGACATAAGAAAACCTTTGTTTGAGATTTTGTGGCGAGGAATTAAAAATTAAAGAGTTCCAAGAAAAAGGATTGCCACAAGAAGAATTCACAAGTCATACATATGCTGTATGACTTGTGAATCACAAAGACTTCTACAGTTAGAGATTAAACCAAGAATTAATTCTGTCACCCTTGTTAAGTACAAAAATTTGTTTAGATGTTGTGGTAAAACACAAATTGTTTCTGCAAGGCCAGGTGTAAGTTATGATAACTTTACTGTTGTATTTTTGAGAATTCTCTTAAATTAAAATTAATGTGCTCTTCATTTGGTAAAGGAGTTGGAATGCATTACTCAGCAAATGATGAGTGTAGCTCAATATCTTGGTTGGGATGTCACAGAACTCAAACCAGTAAGTACAGTTTACTGCAGAATGTGCAAACTTACATGTAAGTGGATAGAATTACTTCATAACTTGGAAAAAGGAGAAGATCTGCTGATGTATGTTTGGAATTATTTTTTAATGAATATACAGTTATCACATTTGTAAACTATATGGATTTGTTAGCAAACCACATAACCAGTAAACAATAAGCACATTCAACTACTTCTAGTTTTTTTTCTCATGTCTGATTGGCTTGGTTTTCTTGACCAACAACAAAATACCACCCAAAATATTTGGCTTACTCTGTTTGAGTGTGGGTGTGAATATGCGAAGGAGAGAGATGTAATGTACCTGTAGGTGAGGTTGCCCACCTGTCCATATATATAATCTATTATTTTATCTTGATAATGTTTACATGAACCTGAAAGAGGGGTAAACTGTCAATGTGGCTCTCCCAGGTAATCAGCCAATGTTCCAATGAGATTATTGAGCTGAATAAAAGCTTTTTTTTTCAGTGAACTATTGCAGCGAGTTGTTTAGTTTTTTAAAGTATTGTTGTGATTCCTTTTGTAAACTATTGTGATTGATTTAGAAGTTGAAATAGTGCCACCAGAATCCAGAGATCTGTGTTCTATTCTTCCCAATGACTCTAAGTCCCATGCTTGTATTGTATTGTTGTATTGTATTGTTGTATTGTATGTTATCAATTCAGCTGGGAAACTCTTTTATAATGCCTTTTAGCGATAAGATGTACATACAGCACATGTACGTATTCCAAGATTTAAACTGTGAGCCCTCCCAAAATCTATAACAAAGTTGTAAAGCTGTGTAGAGGCCTTATGACTTGGATTTTATGGAAAAAGGTTGGCTAAATTGTGCCCTGTTGTTGTACCTTTGGCACATTAGATCTTGCAGGACATGTTGGTAGAGCTGGACGATGATGCTGATGGTCAGATATCTTTGGATGAGTGGATCAGAGGAGGACGTAATACAATACCACTCAGAGTATTGCTTGGTTTAGAAACTGTGAGTGTCTTATGATATGGTCCTTTGTGGCCACACTCAGGTTGCACTCACTCATTGCATGGAACCACATATTGAAGCAAATTCTCAAAAGTTCCACTCTCTGGTATTTTTAAGAAATATGTTTTGCAGGAAATCTCAGGTTTTCTATGTACACAGTCAAGTAGTTCAACAATGCTGAACAGTGTAGTTCAATGAGACATTCATTTTGCTTTGTTCATTTTTACTTTTCTCCAATCATTAGTCTGCATTATTGTGTTCTAAACAGCCTTTGCATGCTATACATTAATTTTTTTGTAAATTTTTGATGATAAATTGTTTAGTTTAATTATAATTATATGTAATAAATTATATTATATTAGACAGAGTTCATGCTTTCTGTCGCTTGATTCCAATCTTAAGAAAAATCATGGGAGTTTCCTTTTCTTTCCACAGCAAATTCTAGATGATGGTCAACATCAGGTGAGAATGCAAATATCTTACTTTACATTACTGTTAGTTCATGTCTGCTGGTTTGTTTTATTTTGTCTCTCACGATTTGACTATAGATTCCAACATATGACAGAGTTTTAAAAAAACTGTGTCCTAGTGGGCAGAGATTTTATTTGCATTTGCTCAACACATTAGGGCTCAAGACTGTTTAAAGTTTTCACTCACTTGCTCAACTGGATGGTGACTTCATTCAAAATAAAGTAATGTTCATTACTAATGTAATGTCTTTTTGTTTACTGATGAAGTAGTTTGGTTTGCAAACAATTGTTTTGTTGTGTCACCTGACCAGATACGCCTAGAGTGAGTTAAAACTGTGGAATGTCTGTGGTGACATTCCTCAATTTTTAAACTTAATACTCAACTATAGAAGTTTCTGTATAAAATCTGATTCAGAATAGCAGAGCATTTTGCTGTTATTGTTTTGAAGAAACATCCAAACTTGTTTATAGAAAGCTGTAACAGAGGAAACTATCAAGACAACAACCAACCTAGTAAAATTAATGTTTTTGACAGTTCACTGTTTTTAAATGATTTGGTTCATACACTCTGAAACACTAATTATGTGTAGGTTAATAAACTCAATCATCAATATTTTCCTTGGACATTTTATGTTTCTCAAGGTTCATACTTATTGTCAAGTTTCACTCTAACTTGTAAATCTGTTCACAGATTCATTGTCCCAATGAAGGCTGTAGTTTATATGTGCACATCTTGACATTATTTTGAATTTCTCTGGGTTTTAGTGGCGTCAAAAACGCTTCAACAGAAATGCTTTCTGTAACAGATGTCTTAATGTGCTGAATGGGTTTGCTCTTAGTTATCAAGGTCTTCAGTGCCCATGTAAGTCATCCTAGCATCTACAGATATCTTACAGTTAATATCCATCCAACTGATTGGTTTACCAGCATATATATGTATATATGTAAGTTGTTAATGGAACTCTCAGGCCAACAAAGGTGCACTGTGCCAGGAGGATCAATAAGGATTCGCAGTCCAAACCTCACAGCCAACACGAACGTAGAAAGTTTAAAAAATTGCGAGGATGGACAACTTCTGACTTAAAAAAATATAAAAAATTTTAATAAAAAACGTTTCGGTCAGAGACCTTCTTCAGGAGTTGTTCATCCTCGCAATTTTTTTAAACTTTCTATGTATATATGTATATAATTATATACATATATTAATTAAACCCCTGAAGAGTGAAGCGATTCACGAAACAGGCTTGTCGGGAAATGTAGTTACGTCCTTTTTTTCCTCTCATAATATTTATTCTGCTCTGCTTCAACGTATTGAGCACTGTTCCACGCGAAAATCGACTTGCAGACTTCCTATATAATTATATATATATATATATATATATGTAGTTCACATTGACTAAAATGAAACACGCATGATTCCCTGTAACTCTGAGTTTCATGCTTACGCACTCATCAGACAGATTTAATGAAAAACATTCTTGTAGGCTAATCTATATCTACATCTATAAAAAGTAGCTGCTGATTACGATAGGTTGTTGATATATAATGGGTGAGAGAAAGCGAAAATTACAATGGGTATGGATGTATCAGTGAAGGATAATGAGACAGTGGGTGTGAATAATTATGTTGACAAAAGTCTATTGTAGCGGGGAAGCGTCAGATGTTGATTAGATCTTTGTTTAATCTTCTCCCGGTTAGCTCAATGGATAGAGCGCCGGACTGTTGTGCGGGAGGTCAAGGGTTCGAGCCCCGGCCGGACCAACACTCAGGGTCTTAAAATAATTGAGAAGAATTTGCTACCTTTCTATAACATTAAGAAATGGTTAGATATTCTAGTCTTCTTAGATAGGGATGAATAAATGGAGGTCCCGTCTCCTGCAGGGTTGGGGGAAGGAGACGTTAATTTCCCACACGAGATTACTGTGTGATGGATGTCCTCCCCTGGGGTGGGATGGGTGGGATATTGGGCGCACTTAATTTGGAGCCTCGCTCTGTTGTGCGACCCTCACCACACTCTGGTGAAAGTGTTTAAATAAAATTAAATAAATAAATAAAAGTTCCTTCGGTCAGTCCGATGTAGTTCTTAGGAGTTGCTTTGTTATCTGTAGTGGTGATCTGTGTGTTGTAGATAATGCTGGAAGACAGGGAATTGTTGTTGAGCTGGCACTGCTCTTTAGATCTGCAGTTGCAAGGCTTTCGCTGTTGTCGTGGTTGTTGTTGTCAGATAGTACTTTCTTGTTGTGTTTGTTAATGATCAATCCCATGTTCTCCATACAACTGTAGTTGACCTTTACGTTGTTCTTGTTGAATAAACTACGGTGTTTGTGATGTATTGCAAAATGCTTCGATACTAAGTCTGGTACTCATTGTAATTTTTGCTTTCTCTAGCTCATTATATATCAACAAGCTATCATAATCAGTAGCTACTTTTTATAGATGTATATATAAATTAGCCTACAAAAATGTTTTTCATTAAATCTGTCTGATGAGTGCAAAAGCACGAAACTCAGAGTTACAGGGAATCATGCGTGTTTCATTTTAGTCATTTTGAACTGTATTTCGCTCTACACTCATGTGTATTGAGCACTTTCCAACAGCATTTGCTACAATTTCCCACTATTATGTAATGTATGCATATATTCCACTTGACTTGATTATTCAATATCTTTGTCTTTGAAATGTTTTTTTTTTTAATTGAACAGTTTGTAAGTATACAGTTCACGAGCGTTGTGTTGAAAGAGTACCAGCATCTTGCATTACCACATATGTCAAGTCCTCAAGAAGAAGTGGCAAAATGGTATGCAGTCACTGTGTTGTTTACAGTGATTGTTTTTAATAGTGAACAAAGTTTGGTTATCTGATGTAACTTACTTAAAACAGGATTTAATTCAACTAGTCTAAGTTTATTCATGACATGTAAATTTTCAGGAAGGCAAGCATGATTTGTGAATTTATGAATCAGGGCAAGGTGTGATTTGCCTCCTGTGTACAAGAAGAGAGATTTGAAGTTAATCCCCTTTTATATACATGATGCACAAATTTTCCTGAAATCCATGTGTGACACAAGATCAGGACTACCCCCTCCACTACCCTGCAAACAAAACCACATGCTACTTGTATTTTACAACATTTCCAATTTTTTTCTGTATTTGTGCAGAGCATGGATCATCACTGGACAGAGGGAAACTGCCCTGGCAAGTGTTTTAAGTGTGGTAAAGCTGTTAAGAGTAACAACTGTCTAACTGGATTACGCTGTGCCTGGTGTCAAGTCACGGTGGGTTGTGCACTTATAGTGTCTTTATTGATTTACCAACAAATACACCAGTCTGGTTAACATAAGTGACATTTTATTGTAAGATTAATAAGGAAGCTAGCCACCAGATTATCTGCCTAGTTGGTGGGTAACTTTTACTTTCAATCTCCATCATCTCTTAATGATATTCAGTAAAACTTAATGATTATTTAGTTATAGTCTGCTGAGCATCCCAAATGATGTCAATGTTTTTGTTTTTATGGTAGTTTACCATCTCACTTTTATTTTTCGACACCTAGTTGAAAAGGTATTTGTACTGTAATCTTGTTGCTCCATCCACACTAAGAGACAAACACAACTCTATTTTCCCATCAGAAGTTCAGTTTCAGTATAGGAAACAGTACAGAGTATTGCAGAGGTTAAGGTGCAAACAAACAAATTGAGGTTTGAAGTTTTGTTTTCATCATAGGTTCACAACAAATGTGCAACTCACATGGCACCAGAGTGTAATCTTGGAGAGCACAGAGAGCTGATCCTACCTCCAGTCTGCATCTCTCCAGCTGGTGGGCTGGTATGTTCACAGACTAACCTACCACAAATACTAATTTAAGACAGGAAGTGAATTTGTGGGTAAATGTGTGAGATGTACTGGTAGTAGCTGTCAACACATAGTTCTTTGGATAAATGGGTCCATGTTTGAGCCCTGGTATTGTGTTGTGTCATTGGTATATGATACATTCCTTAGGCAGTTCTCCTCTTTGCTCAGTGTAGGAGCATGATTTGTACCCAAAAACTGTCAAGGAAACTTGACAAGTCACAATGGACCACCTTTGATAGAGTAACATCTCAAGTAGGAGAAGTGAATAGACCCATAGTTGGTACTTGCCTTTAAAACCGAGATAAACTCTTGTCACTGGGCCACTTGACTTGTAAGAAGCAGCCTTATATGAAGGAGGAACTTGAAATACAAGCAGGTACAAAGAGCAGCACAAGAAACATTTCAATACATGGATTTGAAATGATGATGATGATGTTCCAAGGAGCTCTGTGAATAGTATTACAAATGGGTATCAAAAATATTCTCCTCACATGTTCTTCATCAGATGGTTGTTGTGTTAGTAATTAGTGTTTCTGCATTTTCCAGGACAGGAAAAAGGACAACTCCACCCCAGAAGCTCATAGAAAGAGGGCTAACTCTTATGTCAACTTTGAGGGGATACCAATGCAGGTTAGCTCAAGTAACAAAAATTACTGAGCATGCACATGCAGCTACTTGTAGAGTTTTAGACACAATTCTATAGCGCTTTCTGCATAACTGTTGATAAAAAAGTTTTATTTACTTTTTTGAGAAGAAAAGAAAATACAAGAAATGGGCACTGCCCCTTGATTCCTCCAAGCAGGTGATATGTTTCCCATGAGTGGTAATAAGGTCTCGTTGGTGTTACTTGCATGAAATTAAAACTAATTTTGTTTACAACCTTTTTCGACTGACACAAAACAGTGCGGCGTCTTATTAGAGCGAGGTAACGTTAAGAAGCGCGCGAACGTTTATTTAACTGGCCATGTTTAATTTGGTGTCAGAGTCGACGGTAGGGGCGGGAAGAAATATTCAACCCCCCCCGAGCCCCTCTCCTTGTCTTTGACTCACTCGCCCCCTTAGCACAAATTAAAGTTGTTAATAAAATACTATTATTATTATTATTATTATTATTATTATTATTATTATTATTATAATATAAGTATTAAGTTATTTAGTGAAATGTTGTGCTTGGTTGGTATTCGTAAGTGAAATCCTTGAATACAAAGTTTCTTTTCTAAGGAGGATTAGAAAGTGAGATCTTTAATTAAAAACGGTTCCCGGAGGGTGGAAATCTTCCGCAAAATATGAATATTTGTTTAAAAATGTATTGTGTGATATAAAAGTATGCACAGTATGTGAAATTTGTCAAAACAGATTTCACCATTACGTGGGACCCATCCCTTGGCTGTGTTCATCAACCCTAAGAGTGGTGGGCGACAGGGTGTAAGGTAAGATTATTTAAAACACAGACTATTGCTACTGTTGCTACTATTTGGCCAGTTATTTCTTACGATGCTTTATTTCTTACGATCCGAATAATCCCAAAACCTGTAAGTGTATTTGTTTAAAATGTAATACTGTCCATCCACTAAATTCTTAAGATTACTTGCTGCATGTAGATTGATAGTTTCTTTTCTCCTCTTTTCTCTTCTTATTTTCTTTTCTAATCTGGGCCCGCTGTAATTGGCTACGCAGTTGCGGATTCCCTGCCATTTGTTGTCATTCTTTTTTTATCTATTTATTTTGATTGTTGTTATTTGGCGAAGTTAATAAATAAACTTTCGCTGGGAAACCATGCTGGACTCATATGAAAGAGGATAAGTTTTGAGCTCGGTAAAGAAATACAGAACGGTGTTTTTTCGTCTTGTAACGAGCGTGGAACAAATAAAATATTCTGAGTCCAAATGAGGAATCCAACCACAGCCCATCGGATTCCGCGCTCCGATGCTCTACCACTGAGCCACAAAGACTCTCATTCTTCACAAAACATGACGCTATCGACATTACCGATGCTAGCAGAATGCAGGATGCGTTTCATACCTGAACTTCGTAATGGGCTTTGCTCACCGTAGTCTCTGGAGCGCGGAATCTGAAGGTTCAATTCCTCACGAGGACTCAGAATTGTTTTCTTTGTCCCATACTCGTCACAAGACGAAAAAACATATTCCTATATTTCTCTGCCAAGCTCAAAACTTGCCACCTTTCTATTCTTTACAAAACGTGGAATCTATTTGTTTTATATGATGAAAAAAAAAAATTGTCAATGGTGACGTCATCTATGTCTCTGTCCCCCAGTCAAGAATAATACGTGTGTAATTAAGCTTATCGTGTAATTAAGCTTATCGTGTAATTAAGCTTATCGTGTAATTAAGCTTATCATATAATTTCTCATCTCGCCTCGTCTAACAAACGTACAAGTCAGTCAGTGGGTTATAACTAAACACCCGTGTGATTTTTACCCTGCCTGCACTTACTTTATTTTGTTGATATGACTCTTTTCTCAATATTCAGGTTACTTCATAAGTTTCAGTACTTACTCAACCCGCGACAGGTCTTCAATCTCGGCGATGGCGGACCCGCACCAGGGTATGTCATACTTTGTTTGTTGTTGTTATTTGTTATTTAGTGTACTTAATTCCCTCATAGTGAAGTGACTGAGAAGAATCATGTTCCTCGTTGATGGGACAGCAGTCCATCACAGATCACAACCGCAGCATTTTACATTCATTTACTAGCCATTTACACTCCGGATTGATAGAGGCCCAGTAAGAGAAAAGCCACCTTAACCAGAGCTTGAACCCAGAACACCAAGTCCCGGGTTAGCATACTGACTGGAGATTCACCTTTCCTTTTGTTTAACTGCTTTTATTTCAGATTGAAGTTCTTTCAAAGTGTGCCAGATTTCCGTGTACTGTGTTGTGGCGGAGATGGAACTGTAGGTTGGGTTCTAGCCACTATAGGTGAGCTCAGCAATCCTATGAACTAGAATTATCATTAAAATATAGTTCTCAAACTCATTAATAATTCATCAAGTTACAAACCAATTACGGTACGCCAATTTGGCCACATGTGTGCGTTTAGAAACCCCGATGAAACACTGGACAGAGGCTTTTCCACTATACTTTGATGAAATATCAAACCCTAGAGCTTGATAAAATGTCAAACCCCACTGATGCCAAAATCAGTCAGAATTTTTTCATTGTTCTTGGCTAATGATGCACGATTGAGAAGCAATTTCAAAATCTTTCACTTAGTGACTTAACTGTTTTTGTTTTTCTTCTCTCTTTTAATTGAAAGATAAATTACAGATAAAGAAGCCACCCCCGGTTGCTGTTTTACCTCTCGGTGAGTAACAGTTATGTCAAAGAGCAACTCCGAAATCAAATGCCGAAGTTAATTCGGGATTTCTCTGTGAGTCCCGCCGATATAAACTTCACCTCCCAGGATTGCTCTATGAGTCCTGTCGATATATACTTCACCTCCCAGGGATTGCTCTATGAGTCCTGCCGATATCAACTTCACCTCCCAGGGATTGCTCTATGAGTCCTGCCGGTGTAAACTTCACCTCCTAGTCAGTGACACGTGTAAACCTGGTGTGATGCCATCTTGTTTAGCCGAGTCAACTGTACTGTGGCAGATTTGGTGGGTGTTATATAACTGGCCTCACTGCTATGAGCTTATAACGTCGAAGGTAACGTTTTTTTCCTCAGGTGTTTTAAAACCGTCAGCTCCCACAGGTGATGTTTCTTCCACTTTACAATTGATGAAAACAAAAACAAAACCTTTTAGTGGCAAAAGGGATGAGACTGGTGCCATTTCATATGGCAATAAATTCTTTTAACTTGATCACGAGGAAATTTATAGCAGCTAGAAGGGAGAATTACTCATCTCAATCAAATGGTGAGATTTCAACGGTTAATTTACTTGTTACTATTCTCTCTGCAGGAACTGGAAACGACTTAGCTCGATGCTTGAAGTGGGGTGGAGGTAATAACAAATAACAGTGATTAAACAGCTCCTCTTTCAATTAAACGTTGGATGAAGCTGTTCTGAAGATCATACTGTGACTCAATTATGATAAGAATAAAAAGGTTCTTGAAGAGATAACTGCGGAACTGTGTAGAATTTGATGAAATATTTCAATTCAATGAATCTCGTGAAGATGAAACAATTTTAATGTAATAGAAAAAAAATCCGAGCCCCAGATGGGACTTGAACCCACGACCCTCCGTGATCTAGTCGGATGCTCTAACCACTGAGCTTCTGGAGACTCTATGGTGAACAAGGGTCAATTTGTGGGCCTCGACTGGAAGCGCATCGCGCGGCTACACAGCCAAGTATTGGTCAGCGCCTGTGAAACTCACTAACAGCATCACGTTGTCACATTAAAGCATATCAAGATGCGGCCAACCAACCTCCAAAGTGAGCATGTGAAGATGAAACAATTTTAATGTAATATTACATTAAATTACTATTACATTCGTGGGTTCAAGTCCCATCTGGGGCTCGGATTTTTTCAAGGAATCTCTTTTTTGGATTATATAATAATTGTACTCTGACCAGCTCGTTTACAGAAGTCAGAAGATCCAATGTTTTGCGTGCTGGTCTTCTCGTAGTAAATTTTTGGTAAATTGTCTTTAGTGATGGCAGAAAAGAGGAAGCACTAGTATTTTGTAGTGAACAATCTTTATTTGTTGTACATCTTTCTCCTCAGGATATGAGGGTGGGAGTATTTCCAAGGTGTTGAGTATGATTCAAAAGAGCTCGGTTGTTAGTCTCGACAGGTACGTGTGGTTTTGCTATATACTTACAGTCAAGACACACACTTGCTCAGAATTTGTGTCCTTTTAAAATGAATTTGTGAATATAAGGATATTTTTTTTTCTCATTTTGAGACAACGGCATGGGCCCGGGGTTCGAAATTTGGTCATATTCGACCACAAGGCCAATTTCCTCTGTTCTTCCACTTCAATCCTAAAGAACCCTTGGTAAGGAATGCAGGCTCATTTCTCGAACAGCGGCTTGTTACGGAGCCCAATCTGTTCGGATCTGTTCGCAGTTGGTGACTGATTATTATTGTTGAATTCGTAGCATAGTTTCTGGTGAATCTCCAACACAATGATTGTTCGTTCAAACATTTGATGTGTTAGTTTTATGGACGGATTTATTGCCCCGCAATCAGTATGCTCTCATTCAAATAAAAAAGGAAACAAAATTAAAGCTAAATTAGAGTATAATTCCGAGATTAGAACTAACCCTATCTCGAACAAACATTCGCTTAAGTTGAAGCCTTGTCTTTCAAACGAAAATATACGTGTTTTAGTTTGAAATGATTCCAGGTGAAAATCATTTCAAAATCTTTCGATTTGTATGTTTTTCTGTTTAAGGACATTGCCGGTGTTTCTGAAACAGAGGAATTAACAAATCACGCTAATTTAAAATAACTTCATCTGAAATTTATTGAGAACCCCAACTTATAAAACGCTGTTAACAAATGTTGAATATTGTGAGTGATTTGGTGAAGTGGGAGTTATAAAAACAAATAAATAGGAGGGCCTCATGTTAAAAGTACGAACTTTTGCCACCAATATGGTGATCTTAACCTTTTACTCGTTGTGTAATTTTGTAGATGGTCCGTTTCGTTCAAACAAACTAACAAAGAAGATAGTGGAGATCCACCGCCACTGGACATCATCAACAACTACTTTTCAATTGGCGTAGTATGTCATTTTTTTGAGAATTTTAGTAGTAAGGGTAGTTCGGTTAAACGATAACAAGTACATTGAAATAAAACTACATGATTTTTTTCGGTTTATTTTCAGGATGCGTCAGTTGCGCTCAAGTTTCACTTGCAGAGAGAAAAGAATCCAGAGAAGTTCAACAGCAGGTGAATCAGTAGATAACTGAAAAAACTATTGGAACTTGAAACTTGGTAGATTCGCTACTCTGTAGTATCACTGGCAATTTCTGTAGGGAAGAGAAGGAAAGGGAAATCTTTCATTTAGTGGCTACCACTTAACAACATTCAACACCAAGTAAACACGGAATGTTGCAGAGAACTTTGTTTATTTTCAATTTTGGTTACGAGGATGACATTCACATAAAGGAGATAATATATCAGCAAGTAATTCAGAGCTTCTTTCTGCATACCAGACTTGTGACATAAAGCTCTTATACTAGGCATTGTATTTTACTTGACTACATTTTGCTACTGGCATAGAAGTGATATTTAGAGGATTGGTGGTAAAGAATATTTGTTTTTTTTCTTTCCTACTTTAAGGTTAAAAAACAAATTTCGTTATTTTGAATGTGGTACATCGGAGACCCTTTCAGCAACTTGCAAGAATCTGCACGAGGAAATTGAAATCATAGTAAGTTAGTTTGCCTTTAGAGATAATAATTGTGTTGTTTAAGGGGGGCTGTATGGGGGAATTATCACCTTAGGTTTGGTTTAGCATTGTATTTTAGGCTTGTTCTGGTAATGGTGTTTCAGCATCGTGTTAATTTTGTTGATACATAGGGACTATTTTTTCATTGCATTTCGTAACGAGGTGATTCCCTCAGGATGATAGTGAAGCAGTTGAAATTCACTTACAGTGAAGAAGTTGAAAGAAATAATAGAAAAAAATTAACAAATAAAGAATGCAGGCCTCCGCAGTAACTGACCCGTGTCTCGCAGGCACTAGTTTTGTGCTACTAGCAAGAGAACCGACAAGCCAAATGTTAGTAACTTGGAAAATTTGAATGCTTCGTCTTTTTCCTCAAATCACTATTGTCAAGTTTTCTAACTCTCTGTTAGCTGGATTTTTTTTTAAAAAAAGATTTAGTTGCTGTATCGGTAAGGGTAACCGGTTAAGTCGCCCGAAAGTCATCTCGCCCGAAGTCATTTTGCCCGAAAGTCATCTCGCCCGAAGTCATTTTGCCCGAAACTCATAATCATGTTGCCCGATATTTTGAGTCATGTCGCCCGAACTTTTATCGAGTGTTTAAACCTGAAGAAAAGTCACATATTAAGTAAATCGTAGCGAATGAACTCGTAAAATGTTGACTCGTAAACTGTTTTGGTCCGCTAACCTACGAGAGACTCAAATACCGCTGTTCATTTCAGCGTTGTTCGTTGCTGTTACTGACTGTCAGTAAACTTTTCAGTAAAGAAAAGTAATATCTTGAGTAAATTGCTAGGAATAACCTCGTAAAATGTTGACTCGTAAACTGTTTTCGTCCGCTAACCTATGCAAATAAGAAGTTAAAGAAAGACTCAAATATCGCTGTTCATTTCAGTGTTGTTTGTTGCTATGAACTAAACTGATCATTCTACAGCACAGATTCTAGTAATTATAAGCGGAACACTTTCAGTGATCAGAATAGCCCATTTGCGAATTACCCTTGGCCTCATTTTTAAAACGAGTCCTCGTGCTCAACCATTCTTGTGAAAATGAGTTTAATTTGCATGTAAATGGAAACTTATTATCATATGATAGGATTAGCACGAGCACTCGTTTTGAAAATGAGGCCAAGGGTAATTAATAAATGGGCTATTGTTCACACATATCAGAAAAATATATCAAGTTCTCTTAGTTTGATGTCTCGTATAAAAAACAACCTGAAACTTTTACAGCGGGTTTTTGTTGTTTGTTGTTAACCACGCGAACAAAGCGTGTTAATTAGCATCATTCCCCTTAGGATCGATCAGACTTGTTCACAGTCGTTCCTTGTTTCCTCAGCCGGTCCTTGTTTCCTCAGCCGGTCGAATGTATATTTTGATCCGGTTTACCATATAAAGAGAGTAAACTAATAACAGCCACTTCATTCCGACTTGTAAAATGTTTTCGTCCGCTAACCCTCTATACAAATAAGAAGTTAAAGAAAGACTCGCATTTCGCTGTTCATTTCAGCGTTGTTCGTTGCCATCATAGTTAGTATAGAGGCCATGAACTAAACTGATCATTCTACAGCACAGATTCTTGTAATTATAAACGAAACACTTTCAATTATCAGAATTTTTCACACATCAGAAAAATACATCAAGTTTTCTTAGTTTGAATGAACCGCAACGTCATAATCTTGCTTGGGAACCATGTGATAATTCTTGAGCACGTGCTGTATTCAAGATGGCGGTGTTTTCCAATGTTCCAATCGTAACGATGTGAACCTTAGTTCGAAACAGAATGCTTCCGCATTTAAAACAACAACAGTGAGAACCATACTGTAACTGATATTACTTTTTTTTTTCATTTTCGTGTTTTATTTTTAGGATTACTATCTCCGTAATATCAAACGACAGCGAAACGAACAACCTGAGTTTCACGAGTCAACATTTTACGAGTTTATTCCTTGCCATTTACTTAAGATGTTACTTTTCTTCAAGCTTAAACACTCGATAAAATTTCGGGCTACATGACTATGAATTTCGGGCAACATGACTCTGGTTTCGAGCGACATGACTTCGGGCGAGATTACTTTCGGGCGAGATGACTTTCGGGCGAGATGACTTTCGGGCGAGATGACTTTCGGGCGAGATGACTTTCGGGCGACTTGACCGTAAACCTCGGTGAGTACCTCAAAATTGCATGACGATGATCCATTTTCTTATTCCAAGTGTGATGACATACCATTAGCCCTGCCTCAGCTGGAAGGAATTGCAGTAGTAAATATTCCCAGTGTATACGGTGGAGCAAACCTCTGGGGTGAAACGGACAAGAAGAAGGCCAGGCGGTCACGTGCTAAATCAGGAGGAAGGGACAATGAACTGGACTGGGCTGTACAAGGTCAGTTTACTGAGTTGGATTCTAGCTTGAAGAAGCTGTGTCATTTGCAATCTGCGTTCATCGTCTCCATCCTCCACCATTCTTGTCACCTTTTGTGGTAGCCCTTCCGATTTATGTCCTTTTACTTAGAGGTGAATTTTTGCTTCGCTACTCACCTCCTCTGGCTTCTTGCCGCGGTACATTTTGTGATTGCATTTTACCGTCTTTGTTTAATTTGTGTTCAGACATAGGAGACGGGAAGCTGGAAGTCGTTGGACTTGAAAACACTCTGTTTGTCAGTCAGATTATTGTTGGTGTCAGAGCACATGGCCTTAGATTGGCTCAGTGCTCCTCAGTTGTAATAAGGTGGGTTTCCAGTTTCATGAAGGTTCTAATGATGAGTTGCTGTGACTGTTCTCCGCCAATAAGAGGATAGCACAGGGGTTGTAGGAGGCAGAAGAATTTATTTAATCGCTTCCAACGAAAACTAACAGAGTTTTTTCCTCAATTTTTCCCCTTTCCGCCACACCTACTTCCCCATACCGCATAGTGCAACATTGAGATATGGGAGACTTACTGTTCCATGAGTACCAGAAGAGCGCTCTTTCCAGTTCTTGGTTTGTGCGATGGCAGGTTATTGTTCGTTCCATCGACTCCTTCAGGGGCATAATACAACCTGTACAGTCAGGGTTAACGGCTGTACAGAATATAGTTATTTGCTATTGAAAGTGTTATGTAGTGTAAGCTTTCTTTTTGTTTTGTCCACCACAGGACCAAAAAGCTGTTCCCAATGCAGATTGATGGAGAGCCATGGATGCAACCACCAGCTGAGGTAAACGAAACATTCTTGGTTAGATTACTGTCTGTTTTGGCAGGTAGTTTGCAACAGTTTTCTCGCAGGTTTGTTTTAAATCAAAACCAAAATTAAACGCTGGTAGTGTGCATTCTGAAGGTCTCTGTTACTTGTATGGGCCGATAGCTATTTAAGATTATAACTCCGTCGGAGGAAACCATCACTCAGGCGCAAAGCTTACGTATTTTTATCCTTTAACCATGGTATTTCCGTAATTTTTTTGTTTGTTTGTTCTTTCCCCATAGCAATTTATTGTATTGAGCGTCGAAAGTAATCCAAAATTTCTTTGGTGTTGCTTCATTTCGTGCTCCTTGATTGGTCCACAAAACTTGCGCCACCATCTCAAGCAATTAGATTCAAAACTAAAACCAATAACGACTTGTTCACTCGGGTTTTCCCGCGCTTTAGGGAGTTTACTTGTTTTTACTCAATTCTCATTGGCTCCTGGTGACGTCTTCCTTACTATGATTGGCTGTTGTGATTACTTCGTTATTCACTGTTATGTTTCTAGTTTGTGACCTTTTTTCTTACTTGTTTAAATCTTTCTCAGATTGTGATCTCACACAAGAATCAGGTTCCTATGCTTCAAGGACCGCCACCCGTCAAAAGCTCTTTCTTCTTTAGAAGAAGAAAAGCACGAGACCCTGAATTGGAGAGTGAGATTTAATTTCCCCTGTTTCTGCTGAGGATATCTAATAAAGCGGAGATGAATCCAATGTTGATAAGGCAAGCTGTACACAAACGCTCAAGCATCGCCTAATGGCGGACCAGCAGTGGTAGTTGATCAGACTGTGTAAGATGTAATTTAATTTGATATTGCCTCAGACGAAAAATGCCGTTCATCGCTGTTTTAGGATCTTATTGATTTCTTATTATTTAAGGGTATTATTTTTAGCGCAAACTAGAGTTTGAGGGGAAAAAAGTAGTCGCATTCTCGCGCCTTGCTCATCTGGAATGGTAAGTTAAGCTCTGCGGTTGAAGCGTTAGGTTGCTTTTAGTGGCTGTCATTATTTTGCTTACTGAGAATATCGCAGCCTCTGTTAATTATATGCGTGAAAGCACTTACTAAGTTGACAATAGCTTTTACTTGTATTTAATTGTCAGTGGGTCAATTTGGAAGTTTGAAAGGCCTTGCGCTTAGCTAAATATTAATGCTAAATTAACAAGTGTACAGAAAAAGGCAAACGCTGTTGACCAGCGTATCAGTCCAGCGAGCCGCAGCTCAGCTGAGATGTCAAACTTCGTTGTTATTTATTGCTAGTTTACGTCTACAAAAGATATGTTACGTAGTTAGAATTTAAGAAGAGTGAATGACAAATTTAGAAGGGTCATGGACAAGCCAGCGTTGCTTAACGTTTCCCTTCACGAGATCAAAATATGGGCTCTCGCTGGCTATTTGTAGAGCCTTCAGTCGCTATGCTGTCGGCCCAGAGAATCTCAAGACGAGAAGTGCGTTGTTGATCATGTTGTGGATAGACTAGTTAACTTTGCTGATGTTGTATCATGACCTGTTTTAGCTGAATATTGAATCTGGTGATTTACAATAACTGTCTAATGAGAATATATAAGAACGAAAGAGTATAATAATCCACGATGGTTTTCAATGTTAAAATGTCTATTTAAATACTAATATTATAAGGGAAACTGTTTTTCATATCACTGTGATATTTAGCTGAAAAGGAGCTCATTCCATCATCCGCAAGCGAACGACAAGTGATCCGCGGAATGTGGATTGAGCGCACACTGTCACACACCTCTAAAATGCGATTGGCGTAACTTACGCCGTCTTTGTTACGTTTTTTAAATGTTTTAAACGACATTGGGTATTTGGAAGGTCGTGAAGTAGAGTGGATTAAACAGTGTGGTAAAAGTGGATCAAGTAGTGTGGTAATACCTTTACTGTCGGGTCATTGTCTCCATAGTGCTTTTTGTTCTAACGAATTCCTTGTTGTTGGTCAGAGAGATGACGGACTTGTTGCACTTTGTTTAAGGGTGTTTTTCTTTAATGTCAAAATTCTCGTGAGGGAAAATTGAAATGAAAGGTGAAACAAGTGTGTTACGTGTTTTTTTTTTTTTTTTAATTTACACTGATACGCTGATAAAAACACGCTCTCTGCGGTGAAGATGAAGTTTCCCCCGTTAAGGGTGAGAGAGAGCTACAGAGAGCGCCTGGCTTTGAATCAGAACGTGAGACGAATCTTGACTGTAAAGTGAATCTCTTACAACAACTGATAGAATTGTCGTTTGCGAAAATCAGTGCGATTAAAATGTTTTCTGCAAAAGGAGAATCTTTGCTGCCGTCCTTTTTTTTACATTTTTCTCCATTAGCACACGTTTTCATCGAAAAGAAGTCTAGTTAAGGGAGGAGTTATTTCAAGAATTGAAATAGTGTCTCAGAGTATGGGATATGTGAAATTTGGATCTTCTTGCGGGTGAAACTTACTGAAATATTCTCCAGCGCAAACGGCCAAAAATTTTCCTACATTTCGATTATCCAGTGCAAACATTTTGTTAGCTTATTGGAAAATGAAGAGCTTGTGCCAAGGAGAAAAATATGTAAACAAAGATTCCTCTATGTTATGAAACCTTTGACTGAGCAAATGAAACCCTTGGCATCTCAATTAATTGAAGGTCTGTGGTTAAACTCCTTATTGTAACATGCAGTTAGTTAAACGGTTATCGTATAAGATAACTGATATTATGGTCTATTAGTCTAAAAGACTCGCTCAGGTTTTTACAGCTTCATTGAGCGCGGATAAATAACTGATTGACTTCATATATTTATTGCTTGTCACAAGTCTTATTTAAGTGTGAGTTTTAGTTGTAAATGGTTGTGATGGTTTGACACCTTGTATATCCAGTGAGGTTAACTTAACTAAATTAAAGCTTGACGATAACGCAATAGGATGTGCGTTTCGTGGATTAATTTTTGTTGTTTGTTTGTTTTTGTGTAAGATTTGTTAAACTGAATATAGGTTACTTGAAGTCTGAGATCACGGATATTATAAGGAACTAGTGAAATGGGAAACTTATTTAATGGTCAGGAAACTGTACCCCTTCACCGGAAAGACCGAGAGGGACCGGTAAGGATATTCGTTTTTTTATATTTCTCGTATGTTTGCGAAAACAATCTCTTTTTCTCCTCCTCGTCTCTTAAATAGAAAGATTTTTGCAAAAAGTTCAAGTAGTGCGTGGTTGGTTACTGATCAACTTATTAACAACTGTTCACCTGAGTGGAGGTGGCCAGTGGCTGGTAAATTATCCACTGCTAGCCACCCAAACTGAGGTGTACACATGATGATAAGTATGTACTAAAACAGTGAGATAGCTAAGAATATTCGGAGTTTGCGTAGCCAATCGGAGCGCACCTTACAATCAATCCGCAGTTTTAGTATATACTAATCATTGTTATCCAAGCAACTGCTCAGCGGCAATTGTTGAATTTTTTCCGGTCCGAGGTTGTATAGAATCTGGGTGCGGGGAAGTGGTTTATTTGGTAGGCACCACCGAAACTACTGAAACACGATACTATTATGCACAAAAGGGGCCAAGTTTAAAGGAACATAGCGCCGCTTAAAACCTTAATTTCCAATTCAAAACCTGGAGAGGAACATGCAACAACCCAGGGGGAGACTTGGAAAACTTTAGAGATGTTGGGGCAGCGAATCAGAACCTTAGAAAACTGACCTGAAGAAGCAGCGAGAAATTCCAAGGACGACAAGCCGCGACAACATACGGAAACGTAAGTCTTGCCTTTAACCGATGGAACACCAAGAGGGAAGATAGCGTGAAGGTTGGGGCGAAAGATAAACACCATAAGAACTGCAGGAACGAAGAGAGATGTTCAACAAGATAACATATAAACCTTATGCAAACACGGAAGAACACGCATCCCCTACCACAACCTAACCCTTATAAAGCTGATCCAGGTCATTGGAATCACGTCACGCGCAAAAATGTCTCTTTCCCATTTCCACCCGGCATCAGAGTCATTGAAATCTGCGTTAATTTAATCGCCCAGTTACGCATAACAATGTGTATTCTAGTGTACTGTTTAATAGCTTTAACTGATAATTTTGTTTTACCAAAAATTTTGCTTACAATCACTTAGAAACTAAATCCGGGTGATTAACAATAGTTCTCTATTAGTGTTTTTCTGTGATTTATTAGTGTTTTGTTATTTACTCCGCTTGAATTCAACAGAACAAGAGTTACTTTTTGTTTACTATTAGACACGGCAGAAAAGCTCTTAGATACTTTGGCATTTTTTTTTTCTTGAAATGGTCGGTTGGAGCGCTCCCCCCCCCCCCCAAAAAAATTAATAATAATAACGATAATAAAAATAAACGATTGCGCGGCAAATCCTTCTTAAAAAAAAGGTATTTGGTTGAGCAGACGGATAAGTAGCATAACTCAAAAAGCGAGACCAAGGATTCTCAATTATGTTAGTAACGTTTTGTTCTAGGAGCAACTTTTGATAACCTTTTTTTTAAAAAAAGAATTTTTCTGCGGAGTCTATCACAATTAAGAGTATTTCTTTTTGGTCAACCACTTGCAACATTTAGAAAAGATCCCAGTGGAAACACCTCTTGTCAATGTTGCCATCTGATTGAAGATTGTGTATTAAGGGAGAGATACGCTCCAGGAACTATATGTTCTTACTATATTCTGCGCTTTTCGCGCGCGTTGATTGGCTGGTTTGGAAGTGAAAGCAAGTTCTATTCACCTCCGAGCAGCCGAAGAGATAAAACCGCGCGTCAACAAATTCATTTTTTGGTTTCTCTCTGGTATATACTTGAACAATCATCGCTGCCATCAAAGTGTATTTTAGAAGTTTTGACCCTGTGCATATTTTGAGATTCCAAAGACCGAACACTTCAAGAAATGGTTTTTCACATGGCCAGATTGGCGCTCTTTCTGAACAACTCGGAGGTACATAATACCATTCTAGACTGAACTTTTCAGTACGTGAATCACGCGTTGTGGTTTTTTACGAGTGCAGCCAGGCTAATAAGTTTTAAAATGGCCTCGTCCGTGTCAACATTTAAAGATAATTTTTTAAAGTTTAGAGTTTAATTCTTTAATTTCGAAACGCGGCTCATTTTCACAACCACTTTTCTCTTGCGAAGATCAAAATATTTTGGTTTCTGGAGCATTCCTCTCCTTTGATTGAGGAAGTTAGAACTCAGACCGTCGATAATATCATTTAGGTCGGAAATTTTCACCAATTTTTGGCCCCGTTAAAGTGTCTATACGGCCAACAGGGTTTTTATAGTTTGGTATGTATTTAACATGTAAAAAGGTATTCTTAAATAAAATTGGATTCTCACGAGTCTTCGCCCTGAAATCGAGCTTTAAACTTCCCGCTTTTGCCACGCCCATTGAAGGTGACCATGAGTCGGGGCAAAAAAAGAGATTGGGTTCAGAATGGGTCGTGACGTCAAATCAGGAACGCGCCAAATCCCGCCAGTGGTTCATTTCACTGTTTATTTCAGTAAGGTAAAGAGTTTTCGGCGACATAAATATGCTCGATAGATGTGTTGTAAAAGTACTGCGTTTGTCAAGCAAAGTAACAGCACGATGCTCGAGACGCTCCTGGAGTGACGTCACTCATCACCAGTCCTCCCTTACGCAGTCAACTTTATTAGGCGTGGCCGAAGCGGGAGCTTTAAAGCTCGATTTTAGGGTGAAGAGGCGTTAGGATCAAATTTTTTTTGAGAATACTTTTTTACAGGTTAAAGAGATACTAAAACAATAAAAACACTGTTGGCCGTATAGACACTTTAAATCATCTTAAAACTATAACGTGTTATAAGTAAACGTGTGAAGTAAACGTGTTATAAGTAAATATGCGAAGTAAAGGTTGTCCTTGATTGACCTCAGACAACTGCCGAGAGAATGTTGGCCTCTCAACAGGCCATCTCCTAAGAATGGTTGGGATTAAAATGATCACTAGCCTCACAAGCTGCAAAACAAGAGAAGGAGACAAACACTGCAAATATAAGAGGTAGAATTCCCAACAGAACTGCTTCTACTGAGAGAAAATAATTAACATAAGTCTGATTGACACCTCCAACTTCGCTTCCCACCGAGTAATACGACGCCACACCGACGTTCAGTATTGCTATGACCACCAATGTTGCTAAGGAAACGGCCTCAACGACGTTGGCACTAAAGTGTGCGAAGGGCTTTTGGTATATGTGATGCAACAAGAAAGTTAGGCAAATGATTGTCAGGCACACAGAACGCAAAAACGCATGCTCCAGAAACGGACAAATTAGAATGATGACGAACCGACGGCCAATAAGAATGCTTTCCCAATAAATTTTACCAACTGATTGGTGGTCTTGAGACTTGGAGAATGGACCACAGAGGACTTCAAGAAGTGATTTCTCTATCGGACTGGGAAACTGAGTGTCTTCCTCTTCAAAAAGAGTGGTGTTGGTTTTGGAAGTCATTTCTTGACAGTTACACTTTTGTGAGGTTACTTTCCTAACGTGCACGATGAAAATGTAGAGGAGGTACGGGAAGGGGCACAGGCATGTTAGAAGGAACATCTTACCTGTCATTTTCCCTTGGTACAGTCCAAACGAAGAAAAATACAGTGCAAATATAGACGGCAACAAATACAAGGCGATTACTAGTAAAGAAGCACTTTGCCACCACTGATTGCACGTTAATTGTGCGTCGTAATACCAACGAGACACTTTCTGTATTTGTACACAGTGCAGCAGGTTTTTGGCAGTACCAGTTATCGCTGAGTAACAAAGCAAAAACATCTCGAGGACCGCTCCTAGGTAAGGACCACCTGGTGGAAGAGCTGGGTTGCGCCCGCGTAGCTTGTTCAAAACGCTGTGAAGAAGGTAAATCACTGGAATCGAGATAAATACAGTTGTCAAAAAAGCGGGCTGAAAGAGAGTTTTTGAGAGCGGTGTGATACCTGGGAGAGGACAGATCTTCCAGTCATTATTGACAGATATCTGGAAATTCAGTAAGGCTGTGATTGGTGATACAAATCGATCTTTTAAGAGTTGACGTACACCATAGGACGAGGCGGTCAAGACTCCAGCAACTTGATAGAAATAAAATAGGCTTTTCAAGAATGCATATTTCGAGTAAGCCTTAGGTTTCTCAACATCGCTCAAGGTGTTGTAGTCATCCTGTTCATGGCTCTGCAGAAACCACCTGAGATTTTTTACTAGTCGTTCAACCAATGGAGGTTTTGTGATGAGATACAAAGCAAACAAGGTTCCAGCTGATATGAGAATGGAGAAAAACCAGCCTTCATTACATTCGCTGACCGGATGACATTGAGTAGTGAACAGACCTTCACTAAAATCCTTTTTACATTGTCCGCAAAGCATCCCGGTCCGGTTTCCTTGACAACCAGAATGCAGATAGTTATCATAGTGAAAACGGCATGTTTGATTGACAGTTTGACAACAGTAACCCTCCGGGCATAGCTTAAAATAAACCTTGTCGCCGATAGGATAGCCCCAAAAGTTTGGTCGTGCAGCGAGAGAAGATGAACAGTTGCCTCCTTTTGGACAAGTATAGCACGTGATGTTGTCCTCAAAAGTAAAGCCTTGGCTGCTGCCACGGTGTATGCTGTATGAAAGCATGAGGCACGGCTCGGTAATAAATGCAAATGAGGTTATCTGCTTTGAGTAACTGTACTTTCCCATTTCTAAGTGTGTGAAATTATCCATTTTTAGCTTGGTGCTCAATGGAGCTTTGATTCGAACGGAATTGTCCAACAATACCTCGGGCGCACCTTCAACAAAAATAAGAGGCACCGGGCCGGCGCTGAAAAGGTCTGAAATAAATGAAGTCTCGTTGATGTAAATGCTTCCAAGGCTTGTTGCTGTCAAAAAACCATTGAATGGCTGTGTTCTTACCATATTAGACTGGTAGAAAGTTGTGTTTTTGAT